TTTAAAATTCATATATACACATGGAAAAGGAATTAATTAAAAAAATCAAATATTTTAGGCTGACTGAGAGAAAATCAGTACAGAATACTAAGAAAATGAGAAATGTGACTGTGTAGCGGATAATCTTTTGGTAGTGTTTAAACTAGGATCTTGGAAAGAAAAGGATACAGAAGGAAAAGGAAAACAAAATGGAAGTACTGGGGAAGTAAAACAACTGCAGGAAGAGATAGTATGAATCCATATGACAAAGGTGTACAGGGTAGATTATTCTTCCAGTAGAATGAGTGGAAAGTATTCCTAAGGAATCTATGGAGATTCTCAGTTATCCAAGTCATGGTTGCCCCAAAGGTGGTTTTTCAAAAGGCAACTGACTTTGTTTTTCCTTGAAGACATTCTTCAAGAACCGAAGAAGCTTCTTGGATGAGAAGCAAAACATCTTCAAGAAAAAACAAAGTCCAGTTGCCTTTTGAAAAACCACCTTTGGATATTCCTAAGGAGGAATGATGCAGAAGCTGCATAGAATAAAGTGAAATTAATTATGTTCCAAATTACCACAGAAATCTCAAGGAGTTTTGCTAATGGGAAATATGTACAAATTATGATTGGTGGAATTTTGAAGTGAATAACAATCTGGTAGGTATGTGAGTTTCCAATATGAAAACCATGCTTATTTTTGCTTAGACATGGAGGTAGAATCTGTTTCATAGTGCTGCTGAAATGACTATGGTACAACCTGTGGTAATTGTAGTATTTCCAATTGTTAATAACTTCAATTTCCATTATAATCAAAGGCTATCACTCTTTTTGGATGAGCACTCTCCAAAATTGCCAATTTTTTAATCAATGCTATAGCAGTTAGAAGCCAGCTGGTTTCTCCCTCATGCTATCAATTCTCATAAATCTTGGAATTATTGCTTTTTATTTACTGTATTTTTTATATTTATTGTATTGTTTGTCTTTTTATTCAGTTTGGTCTTAGAGTGTAAACAAACTTTGTATGTTGAAATTGGTATGGATCAGGATCAAAATTTTAAACAAATAAAAATAAAAATGGTTGATAAGAATAGTTGACAACAAAACACTGAGAAAGCTATCACAGACAAAAATCAATGACCTTGGAAAAGAATGAAATTTAAGAACAAAAGGCAATATTCATGGTAGGATATCTGAATGTGGAGACAAAGATGGTTTGCGAGGATAGAAAGGTATGGAGAATATTTTGGTGGAAACTAAATTTATATGTATTTCTTCTTATTCGTGTTGCAGTAAAAATGCTTACTTCAAAAATGAATCAGATCTGAGTGAAGCTATGCTGACCTCCAGCTCTGATAGTCCTTCAAAATACTTTGTGGCAGGGTGGGGTGTGTGGAACGGGGACATTTTAAAGGCTTCGTAGTAGCCAAGTGATAGCCTTCCTACCCTAAACATTTATGATTGATTTCATGAATCAAGAGGATTAATTAGTAACTCAGTTATTGTAAATGTTTGAGGACAAAAATGTAGAATGCTTATCTTTGGATATTCTTAAAGAGGAGCCAATTTGGATTAGAATTACAGGTGGCTGTTTTTTCTTGATTTGTATTGTTTTCTGGATTTTATATTGCATTTCATTGTTTCTCTCAGGTGGTTCAGAAATATGGGAACTCTTGGGATTAAATCTGTGCACTAGCTCTTTCAAGCTTTCTTACACTTAGGCATGAAAACCCAAAAGTACACATATAGACAGGGTGAATTCCAGGCTTAATAGCAGTAACTGTGAGAGGAATCTTGGGAGTCTTAGTGCACAACCAGTTAAATATGAGCCAGCAGTGCATGGTGGCAGCCAAAAAAGCCAATGCAATCCTAAATTACATTAACAGAGGGATACAATCAAGATCAAGTGAGGTACTAATACCACTCTATAAGGCCTTATAGGGTCAGGTTTAGAATACTGCATCCAGTTTTGGTCACACTATAAAAAGAGATGTTGAGATTCTAGAAAAAGTGCAGAGAAGAGCAACCAGGAAGATTATGGGACTGGAGACTAAAACATATGAAGAACAGTTACAGGAACTGGGCATGGCTAGTCTAGTGAAGAGAAGGACCAGGGGAGACAGAATAGCAGTGTTCCAATATTTGAGGGGCTGCCACAGAGAGGAAGGGGTCAAGCTATTTTTCAAAGCCCCCGAAGACCAGATAAGGAATAATGAATGGAAACTGATCAAGGAGATATTCAACCTAGAAATAAGGAGAAATGTTCTGACAGTGGGAACAATCAACCAATGGAGCAGCTTGCCTTCGCAAGTTGTGGGAGCTTCATCACCGGAGGCTTTCAAGAAGAGATTGGACTTCCATTTCTCAGAAACTGTGTAGGGTCTCTTGCTTGGGTGAAGGACTGGATGATCTACAAGGTCCCTTCCAACTCTGTTAATCTGTTAAGGCACAGCTGTCTTTTTGTAATCAACCTCCATTCCCAAAATATTAAAAACACAACTTACATGTTTGGCTTTATTTTTTATTATATTATAAAGATTAATTCTATAACTGAAAGTATAAAAATATGCTCCCCCAACAATAGTGTGTGTTCTTAATAGTCTTATATGCGGAGTGTAGCAAGGAACCTAAGAGAAAAGTAATTTCTGTTCAATGAAGGAAATCCATAAGCAGTTGTAAAGTTAATATCAAGATAATAAACTAGCAGTGCAATGTTATAAACATAAAGCAGCTTTACATTATAAAACACACACAGCTTTTAAATACAGGAATAGCACCTTTTACATAAGTTGAGAAATGTAAACGTGGTATGTAGATTCAAGTATATAAGTTATACATACCCTCCCTCCCTCCACATCAAACCCTTGTGTACCAGAACATGGTTTTAAAAGCCCTGAAATCCTGTATGCAATTTAGTGCTGTACACATGCCCTTGCATCAGTCTTAAGCTATGGAGCCCTTTATCTTGAAGCAATTTTGCCATAGTTTTATGGGAATAGTTCTTGCAATCATAATCACCTCAGCATCCTTTTAAGCGAGAGTCACCAAGCTGCATTCCTGCATTTCCGCTTAAGACTTAATCTTGCCAACCTCTTTGATAAAAGGAAGCCTCAATGTACATTTCACCTTCCACTATTAACCTGGCTCCTGCTTTTGCTCACAATATGTGAAAATCTTCAACCTCCTTATTCAACCGAACAGATAGAAACTGCAAGACCAGCAGAGATTGTGTTGCTGGTACACTTAGGAGAGGGTAAAACAAATCAAATGCAGAAGGAATTTCCCATCTCTTCCTAGGAAATGATGCCCTTTACTCGTTCAAATGTTCATGGCAGCATTTCACAGGCGTTTAGGCCCCCAGATCATTCTATTTGCACCCGAGAGTTTTGTGAAGCTGGATGTTTTAAATAAATATATTAACTGAAAGAAACTGCCAGTGAAATTATTTCACTTTCAGTTTCCTTATTTAATGATTTTAACATAACCAACTTGTCCAAGAAGCAGGAAACATGAAGGGATAATCAATTATGAAACAAAATAAAACAAACACATTGACTTTATATCTGAGAGCTTTAACCCACCCTTAGTCTTTCTCTGTACTGAAAGACTAATAAAGAACAGGGCTACTGCATGGTTTGTCTGCTAACAGCAAGTCTACTTTGAGTTGTCTCCTGCTGCAGTAACTGGGAAAATTCATTCCATTGGGCCCTACTTGAATGCACACATATGTACCAGGATAAAGGCATATCAACCTGCAAATTCTGTAGTGTAAAGTATTTTTAAAATTAACAATAAATCTCCCAAAATGATTTTACTGTTGAGATTTAAGACATGTAAATCTTATCAAATACCTTCCATGTAAGGTTCTTACTGATTTAATGTAACAGGAAGTTATTATATTCTCAATTCCAGCTCCACTAAAACTGTTCATCTTTAACCTCCTTTTGGTAACATATTCCATTATTCAAAATTAAACACACTAAAGCCATAATTCCTCCTAAAACTTAATGAAATGGTAGATCAGAAAATGTGTCTGACCTTAAGAAACATAGATCATGAATTCAAAGTCATTCTAGGTTAAAAAAGGCCATTTACTTGATTATAAACTCAAAAGTAACATGATAATTTTTAAAATCCAGTATCTGTACCATTTAAAGTATTTTAATCTATTAAATTTTTGAATACTATAGTAATTACTTTGTGAATATGAATCACCCTCAAGTGTCAATTTCATAAACCTGCAGACTACAAGTTTCTCCTTCTGTTAATTAAAAAAATGGTGCATTGATTAATTTAACTCATATTTAGGCTGCAGGTCTTCCATTTCCTACATATGTTCCTTCTGACCTCAATGGTCACTCATGCCATAAATACTGTACTTAAAGTGTTTCTTAATGAACATTTAGGAGTATTAATTGTGGAATTCATACAACTATACAATACAGTCACATCAGTCAAAGATAATTCTTTCAGTTCCTTTGGCAGAATTGCAGTTAAGATGAGCTCTGTGTAATGCTGTAAAAGAAGTCCTGGCTCAAGAATTGCAGCTTCCTCATATATTTAAACTAGGGAAGAGCTACACTTTACTGTAAACATTTTAGAGGCTGATGATTCTTGAAACAATCTTTTTGCCTATACCATTTTAGGAAAAAAAGTTTTTGTGACGATTACAAACAACCTGAACATTTTGTGCAGGAAAAAAAGCACAAGAGAAACTACAAAGTTCATTAATACAAAAGTTAAGTTCACAGTTATTTTGGCCTTAAAGTAATTTATGTGAATACATTCGTTCATTACTGTAAATTAGGCTTTTTCTTAACAAGTGCAGGAAAAAGTGTACATCTGTCAGTCACATTCAAGCACTCTGCAAAAGTCTGCTTTGAAGTTACAAATGTAACTTGATTAAACCAGTCTCAGCAGACTACGCTGTTTCTTGCTGCCCTTCCAGCCAATCTCCCTTAACACAGAATAGAACCTTTGTAAAGAGTGTCTCCACTATTTAAGTGCTAGCCAGCCCCCCCCCCCGCCCCTCCAAAGTTTTGGACTTTGGGTCACAGTTAAACTTGTTCATCTCTTTGATACATTATATAGTTTTTTTCAACCCTGGAATTAAAATGTTTGTATCTGCATAATTAGAATTCTAATCAAAATTGATATTTACACAACTAGGGTATTCATGAAGGAGAAAGATAAGTAATGGGCAAATGCATAGCGGACAAATGTACCTATGGAACAATATTTAACACATTTTCTCTTTTTAATGCAATAATTGGTTTTTTTCCCCTGTAATTAGCAGAGACTCTTTTCTTAGCTACCCATATTACAGTAATGGGCTGTATTAATCAGAGCTTTTGCTGGAGATTTCTAATCTTCTTTGAACAGAACTTGATGTTCTGCTCTGGTTGCCTTCATTTTTCCGCCATATAATAGGATCTTCTAGACTGCCAGGTGTCTTGAACAATGTTTCTTGAGTTGTTGGACGCATATTCTTAGGAGTTAGTGGAGTTGTAGAAGGCTATGCACAAAATGAGACAGTACAATTTAATAGAGATTTTATATATCATCTCATTCCTACTCAACAAAACGTTTAATATTGTAAAACAAAAATTAGCATTGTAAGAAATGCTCGGTCCCATACTAATGAACGCAATGCTGCTTTGTTAGACTTGAAGCAATGGAACAAAATTCGTACTAGAGAAATTGATTTGAGAGATCATACTTTGGGTGGTAGAACATCTTCAAAGGCCACTATTTGAATTGTGTTAATGATATTAATAAAAACATTTCCATTGGACAATTGCAAAAGACCATAGTGCTTGGATCCACCAATATATTATGACATCCTAGATTCTTGGGAAGAACTACATCCATATGAAGCCCAACACCACCCAAAGAACTGGCAGCTATGATTTCAGTGTTGTAAATAGATAACGATAGACAGATAAAAGTGCCAAATCCTATCTAAAGATGTAGCTGATTGTGCAATCAACCATAATAATAATGTAAGACTGTCCTCAGCAGTGTGGATATATATGCACTGCAGAATGCATGGATCTAAAAATGAAATATTTCAAATATACACAACTAAGTTCAAGTTTTGGTCTTCATATATGAGTAATCACCTAAATGGAGGGCTTGTAATCATAGACTTGTTTACAACATAACAAAATACTTAGCAATAACCTTATGAAAGTATCTAGGTTAAGTAGAATTGACACTATTCTATTCTATCTTCTTGTGAATGTCTCCTCGTTGCTTTATAATAATAATTCCCCTTCTTACCTGTGGTAGATTGAAAAGGGTGACTGGATGTCCCATGCAAATTGATGAATCTGTTTTAACGGAGTTGCAAGGAGATCCAAGGAGAGGATTCAGATGTACAGCTGAATGAAACTGCTGGTGTGGTTCCAGTGTAGGTAACTGTGATGAATTTGGAGTTAGCACAGTAGGGGTCCCAATGAAAACAGGAGTTGTAGAAGTCAAGCCAGGCATACTAAAATTCACACAAGTGACATTTGGGAAAGAGGCAGAAGATGAAGAATGAAGTTGGCTTGTTCCTGCTGAGGAATAGATAAGGGGGAATGGCGCCAATGCAGTAGATGGAACCATCATACAGGGAACATTAAGTGAAGACAAGCGGCTTGAAGGTAGGCTGACAGGAGCAGGGGCTTGGTTGGTAGGAAACAGGAAATTTAAACCATTTAATCCTAAAATAAAAGAAAGAAAGAAAAAGATACCAAATATAGCAAAATCCTGTCTTCTCAAGGATAAAGACAAAATAGCAATGACCTGTAAATTTTCGCATTCAACACGTTGAGCTCAAAATACCATTTGAACTTCACTGAATATCACTGGACGTGTTTGAGCCTTCTCAGAAATAACATAGAGCTTCAGGCATGGTTGTATCAGAATTAGAACACTCCTGGAAGCGTTACGCTGAAATGTATCAAGACATTCAGTTATATATCTGCCATATTTTGTATCTATCTGGACTTTTATCATTTTTTTAAAGGGTTGATGGCATTTTATTGAAGATCTTTCTAGGAATTCATGGCTGTCGTGAAAATATATTTTATCTAAATGCCAAGTTAACATGCATGTTTTTAGTTTAGTCCTTACCAGCTGCAGGCTGTACATAGAGATACTGCGGTAAAAAAGATGTTTTTTCCTGAGAGGTTTGTTCCTTTTCTTTCAAGTTTTCTTTTACATTTTTATTCTTATGTGATTCTTCATGGTCCTGGGTTTCTGTTATGACAGTTTCCAGAATTTCAGAAGTCCCTGATTCGAACTGAAAGCCTTTCTGTTGGTCAAGGGAGCTGCAGTTATTGTCTGAAGAAGACTTTGCATCAGCTGGCTGAATGGTTTTCTAAAAAGAAAAAGAAAAAAGAACACAAACAACTTAATCTTGGGATATACATTATTGTGTAAGACTCTGCCATAAATACTCTGGATCTAGTTGCGAAAGGTTAAAGTGCTCCTTTTGGAGTTTTTCTCCTTAACTTTAAGGAAACTTTCATAGAGTGCTGGACCAGCAGCAGTTAATTCAAAGGACATGCAGGAAGGAGTAAGAGCCAATATTCCCTTTCTAAATAAAAAAACAGCAAAGATAGTCACCATAAAAAGACAACCATGTGATATACGAGGGAGATGGAACATACTATTTCATAAATACAACAGCTATTCTTTTGGATGACTCCATGAAATAGTCTTCTACAGGTTCTGAATTTTTCTCACCTTGGATACTACTAATGAAATGGGACCATCGCTCTGCTCCAGGCTTTGTCTTTTGGCTACAGGTGCCTCTTCAGATGGAGCTGCAGTGGGAGATACACACTTCTGGGAACTCCGCTTGCGAAAATTAACTGGAGATTTTGCAGTTTCTAATGAGCAGGGGGAAATGTGGCCTTCTGCATCTTCACTTCTTTTTTCTGGAAAATTTTCCCGTGAATGACTTTCATGAAGTTTGCCACACAGCATATAAAGGGATGGAGATGGCAAGTAAACAAAAGGTTGGCTGGGGAGTGCGTTGGTTTCCCCAGTCTCAGTTTTGGAAACCGATACAGCAGAAGATGGTATATTTTGATTATTTATTCCATTTGGTAAAGACCGATGTGATGTGTCTGAGTTGGTTTTTTCAGGAAAGCAAGGGAAGACATTAGCACAATAGTCTGAATCTTCTGGAACAGGAAAAACCGAGAAGGAAGAAATAATGCCCAGATTTCTTGCTGCTTCAATACTTCTATTAGAAAGATGAAGGAAAATTGAAATGTGTTTGAATATTAGTAGCTTGGGTTGGTAGTTAGGCTGTTGGTCTGAGCTCCGAGCTTGGCAATTTAGTTGCAAATGTTTCGTCACCATTCGAGACATCGTCAGTGCGTTTTGAATTGTGACAACTTGACAATTGAAAACGCACTGAAAATGTTTCCTCGAATGGTGATGAAATGTTTGCAACCAAATTGCCAAGCTCGGAGCTCAAACCAACAGCCTAAATGAAGGAAAATAATTAGATTACATTAAAGTATTCCCATTCTAACATCATCTTTGCCAAACAGCTTTGGATGCAACCCAAATATCTAGAGGTTTAGATAAATGAGACTATTTCATTTAGTTTATGATGGGAAGAAGATATGAGGAACTGAAAGAGATTCAGATAAGTAGCATTTAAGCAACAGAATTAGGCCTGAAAAGGGCCTCTGGTAAATTGCAGACACAATGTGAATTAATATACTACTAGTAGAACAAATCAATTCTTTCACACAATGGTTAATCACCCTAATTAAAAATATCTCATTCATGCATTACATCTAATACATGTAATTGACGTGGTTTCTATATATCATAAATTTAGTTAGAAGTAAAATATTCTAGTTCATTTCATTCTAAAGATACTTTATGTTATGATATATAGCTACAGTACTCCAATGCTTCATCAAACACAGATATCTGCCCTTTCCACAGTAGATTATAAACAAGTTTAAAACAGAATGTTATTTTTTATAAGGCATCAGGTTTGAATTTCTATGTACCTTTTGTTATTTTCCAAATTCTGACAGCAAACAGATGCTAGGTTTATCATTTTGGAACAGTAATCATCTAAGGAAAATCAGAAGATCAAATCAATTCTCAATGTATGACCGTAATACAGAGTTTTTAGGTCTATCATCTATGTATCTATCATCTCTCTCTCTTTATCTATTAATCTAATATAATCTATGCCTTTTTTAGATAAACATGGAGAACATATAGGATTAAGTAGAAAGTCAGAGAAAAAACATCTCACAATCTCTTTGGAGAGCTCTGTCACTAAGGATCTAGAATACAACATTATATATATCTTAGCCAGGATTTTAAGCATTTTAACTAACAGACTTTTAAATGACGCGGGAAAACACCCGAGATTTTAACTTTTTACATACACACACCAGCGAAAACTTGAGAAGACACACACACACACACATATATATATATGTTTTCTGAGGTTTTCGTGGGTGTTTGTATGTAGGTCTTTGGTTATTCGGGTTTTCTCCCGCGTAAAATTGGAGGTTTCTTGGCAACGTTTCGACAAAGTTATATCACCTCCCCTTGATGTCCAGATGTACTCGGTGAATGACCTTTGTGCCCTGCGAGATTCCCCCCTCTCGCAGGTTTGGCCCTCTTCGTTATCGAGGGCCTATCTTGATGATGGGCTTTGGAGCCCCGAGAGATGGCATGCAGCAAAGAAGAGTTTGAGGGTTTTTTTAAGTGGGTTTTTTAGTGGGTTTTTAACAAAAATTTTAAGGGGTTTGGGGGGGATTAGGGTGGGTTCTGGGGGAAATCCACCGGGTTCAAGACCAGCCTTAGCGAAGGGCTGCGACATTAGGGACGTAGAACCGGAGGTCGGGGAGGGGGTTGGAGTTCGATTTGAAGAGGGCTGTTCCATCAGCATAGTGAGTGGGAGGGGCAGATATGGCGGAAGCTGGGGACCACATCATGTTCGGGGAATGCGCACTCGCTATCTTAGAGCGATTGCACACTCCGGTCCCCAATGCTTTTCTTGTTCCCCAGGCTGTCCAGATTCTCAGGGCCAGAGCCTCCGGCTGATGTTATGCAATGCCAGGTCTGTTGTTAATAAAGCCCCCCTCATTCACGATCTTATTCAGGAGGGGGAGGCGGACCTAGCGGGCATTACGGAGACCTGGTTGGGCCAGGAGGGGGGAGTTCCCCTCGTGGATATATGCCCACCAGGCTTCCGTGCATTTCATCAGCCGAGGGCTCAGGGCAGGGGCGGGGGGTGGTGGTGGCGGTTATTATAAAGGAAGGTCTGGATCCAAGGGAGACCACTGTTCCACAGATAGCCGGATGTGAGTCCCTCTTTGTGAAGTGGGGTCGTGGAGTACAGATGGGCTTGTTGGTCACGTACCTGGCTCCCTGCCACGTGGCAATGGCCCTGCCTGAGCTGCTTAACGTTATAGCCGAGGTGGCGGTGGACACCCCCAGACTTGTTATTATGGGGGATTTCAACCTGCCATCTATCGATGAAACATCTGAGGTGGCTCGAGAGTTCATGGCTTCCATGACCGCCATGGACCTTACTCAGTTAATTCATGACCCCACTCACACAGGGGGACACACTCTGGACTTAGTTTTTGTCTCTGGTCAGTGGTTGAGTGGCCTTGATATAGGGGATATAGCCATCAAACCCTTGTCATGGTCTGACCACTCGCTCCTTCGACTGGACTTTCTAACCACTGCACTCCGCCGCAGGGAGGCGGGACCGACCAGGTGGTTCCGCCCCAGGCGCCTGATGGACCCTGATAGGTTCCAGATGGAGCTTGAGCCATTTCCTGAGACTCTGGCTCATGACTTGGCTGAAGACCTGGCGGCCGCCTGGGATAGTGCGGCTGCCGGGGCCTTGGACCGTGTCGTGCCTTTGCGGCCTCTGACCCGGCACCGAACTCACCTAGCTCCTTGGTTCTCCGAGGAGCTTAGGGAGATGAAGCGCCGGAAAAGACGCCTGGAGAGTAGTTGGAGGACCAGCCGCTCCGAATCCAACCGAACACTAGTGAGGTCTCATATTAAGACCTACCTTGTGGCGATAAAAGCGGCGAAATCTAGCTATTTTGCCGCTCTTATCGCGTCATCAGATAATCGCCCGGCCGCCCTGTTTAGGGTGACCCGCTCCCTCCTCCATCTGGAAGTGCGGGATGACCCCTTGCAGGGCCGAGCTGAGGACTTCGTGCAGTATCTGTATGACAAAATCGCTCAGATTCGGGAAGGGCTGGCCTCTGACTGGGTATGTCCGGACGGGATGACTGAGGCAGGTCTTGAGAGTGTTATCTGGGGGGAGTTCGATCCTGTGGCTCCCGAGGACATGGACAGGGTCCTGGGACGGCTGAACGCAACCACATGTTTATTGGACCCGTGCCCCTCCTGGTTGGTAGTGGCTTCCCGGGAGGTGACACGAGGCTGGCTCCAGAAGATTGTTAACGCTTCTTTGAGTGAGGGGGTCCTGCCGGCCGCTTTGAAAGAAGCGGTTGTGAGGCCCCTCCTCAAGAAGCCCTCTCTGGATCCGGCTGTTTTGGCTAACTATTGTCCAGTCTCCAACCTTCGCTTTGTTGCGAAGGTTGTTGAGAGTGTGGTGGCGCAACAGCTTCCCCGGTACCTGGATGAAGCTGTCTATCTAGACCCGCTCCAGTCCGGCTTCCGGCCTGGGCACAGCACGGAAACGGCATTGGTCGCGTTGGTGGATGATCTCTGGAGGGCTCGGGATAGGGGTTGCTCTTCTATCCTGGTCCTGTTAGACCTCTCAGCGGCTTTTGATACCATCGACCATGGTATCATGTTGCACCGGTTGGCGGGGTTGGGGGGCACCGTTCTGCGGTGGTTCTCCTCCTACCTCTCTGACCGGTCACAATCTGTGTTGACAGGGGGGCAGAGGTCGACCCCAAGGGCCCTTGTATGTGGGGTGCCACAGGGGTCGGTCCTCTCGCCCCTTCTGTTCAACATTTATGTAAAGCCGCTGGGTGAGATCATCTGTGGCTTCGGGGTGGAGTTCCATCAGTACGCTGATGACACCCAGCTGTACATCTCCATCCCAGGCCACCCCAACGATGCCCTTGAAGTGATGTCCCAGTGCCTGGAGGCCGTGCGGGCCTGGATGGGGAGAAACAGGCTTCGACTCAACCCCTCCAAGACCGAGTGGCTGTGGCTTCCGGCGTCTCGATATAGCCAGCTGATGCCATCGCTGGCTATTGGGGGCGAATCACTCGCCCCCACGGAGAGGGCTCGTAACTTGGGCGTCCTCCTGGACGCACGGCTGTCTTTAGAAGATCATTTGACGGCCGTGGCCAGGGGGGCTTTTTATCAGGTCCGCCTGATACGCCAGTTACGCCCCTTTCTAGATCGGGACTCTCTACGCACAGTCACTCAGGCACTCGTCACTTCCCGCTGGACTACTGCAACGCTCTCTACATGGGGCTCCCCCTGGGGTGCACCCGGAGGCTCCAGCTGGTCCAGAACGCGGCCGCGCGGGGGATTATGGGGGCGACGAGGCGCTCCCATGTAACACCTCTCCTGCGCGAGCTGCACTGGCTCCCGGTGGTCTTCCGGGTGCGCTTCAAGGTGTTGGTGACCACCTTTAAAGCGCTCTATGGCTTAGGGCCGAGACCGCCTTCTGCCACCAATAGCCTCCCACCGGCCAGTACGCTCGCACAGAGTGGGCCTCCTCAGGGTGCCGTCCGCCAGACAATGTCGGCTGACGACTCCCAGGGGGAGAGCCTTCTCTGTGGCGGCGCCCACCCTCTGGAACAACCTCCCCCCAGAGATACGTACAATAACAGACCTCCGGATTTTTCGTCGGGCCCATTTATTTCAACTAGCTGGGCTGGCTTGAGTTAAATTTTAAATTGATTTTAAATTGGATTGGCCAAAATATTTAATTATTTTAAACTGCTTTTAAATTTTGTATGTACTGTTTTTTACTTTGGCTGTTCACCGCCCTGAGTCCTATTTGGAGAAGGGCGGTCTAGAAATAGGAACAAATAAATAAACAAATAAATAAAGTCTCATTCGTCATCTTCAGGCTGGTGTCTTCGGCTTCGTGCTTCTAGGAGCAATGTGTGTGATCGCAGCTGTTTCTTCCTTTTAACTGCCAGTGGGGGTGTGAACTGATTGGGTGGGAGTTTGGCTGTGCTCTGACTGGATGGGGGGGTTGGCTGTGCTCTGATTGGATGGGTGTGTGTTCTGTTTAGGTGCCAATCAAAGAAGCCCTGACAGCTATCCAAAACAAATATAACCCCCCCAAGCACATCCTAGATCTGACCAACCACTGCCTATCCAACACATACTTCATCTATAAAGGACAAAAATACAAACAAATAGAAGGAGCACCCATGGGATCACCCCTCTCACCTGTCATTGCTAACCTCTACATGGAACACTTTGAAACCCAAACTCTAGAAAAATCTGACCACAAACCCAAACTCTGGCTCAGATACGTAGATGACACCTTTATAATCTGGCCACATGGGAAAGAAAAACTGGACAACTTCCTCACACACCTCAACAGCCTACACCCCAAAATACAGTTTACCATGGAAACAGAAGTGAACAACCAACTTCCCTTCCTGGATGTCTTAGTCTACAAAAAATCCAATGGCTCCCTAGGACACACCATCTACCAAAAGAAAACACACACAAACCGCTATCTGCACGCACTCTCACACCACCACCCAGCACAGATCAACTCTGTAGCCAAGACACTCATCTCCAGAACAAAACGCTTAGCTGACGAACAACACCTAAAAACCAAACTACACACTCTCACTAACGTACTAACATCCAATGGATTCCAAAGAAATAAGATTACCAACCTAATCCAAAAAGAAACCTCTACTAAAATCCAAGACAGAAAACAAGAAAACGGCAAAGCCCTCCTCCCATACATAAAAGGCACCACAGACAGAATCAGCAAGATCCTCCACAAACACAAATCAAGACAGCATTCTGCACAAACCGAAAAATATCCACCATCCTAAGAAACCCCAAAGACAAAATTGAGTTAGAAAATCAAGAGTATATGAAATCCCATGCATCGCCTGCCCCACCACATACATCGGACAAACCAACAGAAGAATAAGTGCACGCATTGAAGACCACAAGAACTCAGTCAGAAAAGAGGAACCAACTTCTTCCCTGGTCCAACACCTCAAAGCCACAGGACGTGATATTGACTTTAAAAAGACCAGAACTATCGCCAAAACTGAACACTTTAACAACAGAATAATCAGAGAAGCCATCGAGATAGAAAAACATCCACACAGCATGAATAAACGAGAGGATACCTCCCGCCTACCAGCCATTTGGAAACCCGCCCTTATTGACAAACGAGTCCCTAACACAAAGAATGACACCAGACCCACACTCACGAGAGCCACAGGATGTAACCACCACACATCCACGCAGAAAGCAGACTCAAACCCACACTGATGATGAGGCACGACCGCGGACCAGAAGCCAGACCACAGCTGCATCATTAGCCCCTTTAAACCCCTCCAATCCATACATGAAGCAGACTGACACCCACCATGAAGAGGTAGCACGGCCACGAACACGAAGCCAAACAACAGCAACACAGCTCACCAGCTCAAATCCCCCTGCTACTCAGACTAACCCGAGCACAACCAAGCCTCCACCTAAACAGAACACACACCCATCCAATCAGAGCACAGCCAACCCCCCATCCAATCAGAGCACAGCCAAGCCCCGAACCAATCAGAACACACCTCCACCCAATCAGAACACAGCCAAGCTCCCACCCAATCAGTTCACACCCCCACTGTCAGTTAAAAGGAAGAAACAGCTGCAATCACCCACATTGCTCCTAGAAGCACGAAGCTGAAGACACCAGCCTGAAGATGACGAATGAGATTTGGTCGAAACGTTGCCAAGAAACCTCCAATTTTACGCGGGAGAAAACCCGAATAACCAAAGACCTACACACACACACACACACACACACACACACACACACACACACACGTATATGTATATGTATATCTCCTCAGCCGGGTATATAAGAAATTTCAGATTCCTGCATACATTTTATTTTCATGAATGTCTCTGGGCTTTGAATAGTTGTGTAAATATGTTTACAAAATAAAAATAGTAGTTGACCCCTCCATGTTTTATTTGGAAATATGTCTAATAACTTGAAAAAAGGACAGAGGTAAGCAAAAATAGGATGTAGAATTGCAAAAGGAGAGAGGTGGATTATTAATATGTTAAGCTAACATATATCTGGTTATATTACTCAGGTCAGACATTTTGGGATCAACCAAGTATTTTATGACATGCCCATAAAATGTCCTCCCTGCAAATTTCCATCTGTCCATTAGGACTCCAAACTTGAAGATTATCATTTCTAGTCTTTATGTCATTCTTATTATCATTCACTATCCTTCTTTTGAAATTTCAAGATTCAATTTCTAGATAGTTTCTTCCCCTTTTCACAATCATCATTTCTAGATCAGTATTCATTATTTATTGATCAAATTTGTATGCTGCTATAATCTGCAAATATAGATATATTGTTCCTTTATCTGATCCTTCTCTTACAATTTCATTCATTCAAAATCATATGCTAAGACAATTTAAAATGTTAAGTTTAGGTTTACTAAATATCTAGAGAAAAGTATTAATACATTTTACCTCTATTCGTTAACTAATACATGTAGTTCCTAGGATACTCCAACAGGGTTTGAGACAATCCAAGCAAATTACAAATTACTGCATGAAATGGAAGTTTCAATGGCTTTGTTCATCTCAAAATTTGTGAAAAATTTCACATATCTATAGTTGTTATACTCCTGAAAATTCATATAATACTACATAATATGCTGTATCTTGATGTGGTTCTTTTATGAAATTATGAAGAAAATATATAGTATTGCCCTTGAAGTTGCCCTGTGCTTTGTTGATGTTTACGGTAGCTTACTGCGGAAACAATATATACATCTTTTCCTACCTCCAAGTTCAGAGTAGGAAAGGATTGCTGATATTTGTCATGTCATGCTTACTATGAAAGGAATGAACAATCAATATGTGGATCTTTCTGAAGCTATTGCCTTAGCATTCAGAATAAAAGTTCCATGTCTATTGCTCAGGCTCATTGTATCTAACTTAAGTGGAGATTTTGCATCCTAAGATATATAAAACACCCAGTTTTCTCTAAGGTCTGCACCTTGTGAAGAGGCAGTCATTATCCAACATTCTAGTCCTGCTTAGTTACAAAGCCAGCTGTGTGACCTTGGGTCAGTCACTCTCTCTCAGCCCTAGGAAGAAGCACATGGCAAACTACCACCAAAGTCTTGCCAAGAAAATAACAACTTGTCAAGGCAGTCATCAGGAGTCAACACTAATTTGAAGACCCAAATAAATAACATTATAACTAAGAATTAAAATTGATCAATGGTGGGGTTCATTGTGCTCTTTGAACTTGGATGTTTGCTTTCAGACATTTCATTGCCCAGCTAGAGAACATCAGATGATTATGTTGCTAAGACATCTAATGAGATGTCTGCAAACAAACCACCAAGCTCAGAGAGCACCAAGGACTTCAAAGTTCAACCCTGAGTTACAAATATTCTGTTTATTAATTGGTAGTCTAATTTTAGTTTATAGATAGAAACCGTGTTACACAAAAATAAACACACAAACATTTAGCTATTAATCAAACGCTATAAGAAGAGCTAAAATGCTTGTCCCAATATTTACCTTGTCTCTCTTTGTGTGGACTGCTTGGTTCAGAACTAACTTTCCTCTTGACCATTTCAGAAGGCTGAGGAATGCTAAAAGAAGCATGGCGTGACAGTCGATCTTTTCTATTAGAGCAAGCTTGATGTGGAATACGGGTTGGTCTTTTCACTTCAGTAAGAGTAGCACAGGTTCGAACTTCCATTTTTATATCACCTAAACAAATGCACTCATGTTCAATTGGTTACTCAAAGGACAACCTACTTTATTATTTACTAGACATGAGTCCTGTGGCAAAATATAGTTGCTTTATTGCTTTTTCTGCTACATTTTCTTCAAGGGAAAAAATGAACACCCCCCCCCAACTTTTAACAGTCTTACCATAATTCAGTTCTACTTCCTAACTATTTGCTCATCATATATAATAGTAAAATTACTCCTTGACTTGCTTCAGAATGTCATTGACGTGCTAGCAACTTGTTTAATAGGAATGTATTTACTGAACAGTGTGTGTACATCATCCTTCCATATCTGTTCTGTCATGTCTCATTTAGAGCTTTCCATGTTAAATATTAATATGCTCACAAATTATTCACTCCTGATGTAGCCTTGGTACATCACGTGGACACTAAACCAGTCAGATTAATAAATAGATAATTGGCAAAAACAAAATCATAGGCAGAACTGTTTTTCTATCACCTTATAATGCCTATTGAATTTTTTATAGGTTTCTCTGGATATCATCAGTTTTCTTCATAAATCCAATAACTGATGTAAGGCTATCTGGGAAATGACTTATTGGTAATGCAAAAATAGAAAAGTACCATTATTTCCAGTGAATTCCACAGGCCCAATCCATTTGAAGGCTGGTTTACGACCTCTTTCTTCTGTTACATGCACTTTCTTGATGAGCCCAAGACTTGTCAAGACATTAGCAATATCATATAGTCTTCTTACCTTTGCTGAAAGGAAAACAGCTTTAGTTCAAATGTAGTGAACTATATGTCCTCATTCGTAACATATAGATGTAACAAATTAGAAAAAAAGCACTGTTGCTGAAAAGCTAAAATTATGGGGAATTGGCATGAAGTAAAATGTCCTGCAAAATGTTGAGGGTCATTTGAATGAATAAATAAGTGGATAGAATCTCAAAAAAAAAAAAAATCAATATGGTATATATTAAAGGATTTATCAGTGAGTAATGACAGTTGGATGCTTTCGGACTTGACCTCCGTAGGTTTTTTAAACGTTTTATTGACAACAAATTAGAAGCACAGCATTTTACGAGAACACAAAGCTAGTATTTCAACTAATACTAGTTTTAATTTTTTAACATTGACTTTAATCAAGCAAGACTGTACACTATTTGAAATGTGTTAGTATCTTAGTATCTGACAAGAGATGCCATACTCATTTCAGTAAATATCACAAGTTATTTTTGCATAACAAAGTTCGAAAGAGGTTTCCTGGTATTTGTACATTATATTTCTTTTCAAATTGGAATTGCTCCAAAGATTTTTTAAAAATTATATATGTTCTCTAGTTCTGCCAATATAACCTTTACTTGCTGACTCAGAATATTCATTCCCCAGTGATTCTTACTTTTAAACTTGCTGTGATCAGCAGTATCCTGGCTTTCTTCTATCAATATTTTTGCTGCTATGTCAAGAGTGACTATCTTGGTCTTGGAGACAAGGAACAGCATGACAAATTTCTGGCTCATAATCCTCAACGACTTGTCCTTTCTGCTGTTTGCAGACGCTGTATTACAAACAAAACTCAAGTCTCAACATGTTACAATATTAACAGCCAAGAAAATATTATGAAGACTTGTGGAAGAAAAAAAAAGTGAAAGAAACAAAATCGTTGTTGAAAAGCATGTTTTTAATGAGCAGAAAATAATTGCCTATAACAGATGGATAGCTGCACTTTAACTATCTCCAGGACAGATGAAAGGATTATAAAATGATAACTTGAACAAGTGAAGTTGGAATGATTATTCATTAGGGATGTGCAATGCTTTGAATCCAAAGCACCTTGTCATTTTCTTGCTAATTCCTCAATTCAAACATATATTTATCTGGGATGACACAAGTATGCCTATGAAAAATCTTCATTTCTTGAAGGAGGATCTGAAGGTGTCCATACCTATTTAAAAACACCAGTTCTGCTTCAGATCTGAATTGCTGCACCTCCCTATTCTCCATCAATTGTACCAGAACATAGAAGCATGGTATCAAGTTATTAAGCAATACTATATACTGTATGGGTTGCATCTTGAGGGCAAAACACAAGATTTGTTTGACATGTGATTGACCACTTGAATCTAAAGAAAATGATCATTTGGATCTAACAATTTATTTTAAAATATAAAATAGAATAATACAGCATATCTTCTTACATACATTTTTAAAACATTGCCAGTTCTCTTCCTAACTTACCAGATGGATAATCTGTCTCTGAGAAGTCAAGCAACTGTCGTTCTTGAAAATCTACAAAGCTCTCTTTTTTGTGTTCTCCAAATCTACACTCAAAGTCAAGTTCTTTCTGCTGGAAAGAAGTCATGAGTTCTTCATATTTTTGAAACTCTCCTATTTCTTGAAGTTTTTTCAGAGTCTGGCTCAAACGGTGGCGACCATGCCAACAATACTGATTCTTAGCCACTCGGCTAACAAGATCAAGAGATTCCAGGACATTCACTATATCATAAATCCGCCTGCGTTCGACTCCTAGATATAGGAAACCAAAGCATAAAACAGAGAAGGTAATCAAGAAATTGTAACAATAAAATTTCTGAGAGGAAAGACAAATGATGGAGTTTTACTTCTAAATGCAGGGATCCCAATTTTTTGTTCTTAGCGTTCATTACCTCTGAATATAAGAACTAACAGAAATGTTACAATAAATTAAAAAATATGGTAATGTGATAGAAACAATTTAGGAACTATTTGTGGCAGTATAAATTTTAAAAAATACTGTTAAGTATTCCGCACTACTCAACAGAATGTGCAGAAGATGCATCAGAAGACCTGTAGATCATAAATTGTCCCCATACCACTAATACCAGTTGCAAGAGAGTGCTACAGTAAATTCTAGATTATGCCTTCATATCAGAGTGGCATTTTGAATTCTTCTGCCCAGGACTTTTATAAGTTCAGAAGATTTGGCAGTGATACTATTTATGTCAATAAAAGTTTGTATCATTAATAAGAAGTAATGTGGAATCAAAAACTGCAGAAGTTAATGTATTTGTGAGGCACATTGTGAGGTAGCTATAAATATGATGGTGCAAAGGCATTGTTGTTGCTGCGAAGTCATGTCCGACCCATCATGACCCTATGGACAACGTTCCTCCAGGCCTTCCTGTCCTCCACCATCCTCTGGAGTCCATTTAAGCTCACGCCTACTGCTTCAGTGATTCCATCCAGCTACCTCGTTCTCTGTCGTCCCACCCTTCTTTTGCCCTCAATCTTTCCAGCATTAGGCTCTTCTCCAGTGAGTCCTTCCTTCTCATCAGGTGGCCAAAGTATTTGAGTTTCATCTTCAGGATCTGGCCTTCTAAAGAGCAGTCAGGGTTGATCTCCTCTAGGACTGACCGGTTTGATCGCAGTCTAAGGGACTCGCAGGAGTCTTCTCCAGCAACATAGTTCAAAGGCCTCAATTCTTTGGCGCTCAGCCTTTCTTATGGTCCAACTTTCACAGCCATACATTGCAATTGGGAAAACCATAGCCTTGACTATACGCACTTTTGTTGGCAGGGTGATGTCTGTCACTGCATTTTTGTATTTACCAGCTTGAGCTCTTATTTTTGAACTTTCAGACTTACCGTAGCTTGCCAAGTTCTTATCAGTAAACTAACTGTGCATGTCTACATTCTTTCACTTTCTTCTATCTTTCTTTGTTCGCCTGCCAAGAGGTCCGGCAGGAACGCTGCCAAGATGTAATTAATTAGCTAGTAAGATGTTTTTACTTCTTTATAATAAAATGTGTTTATTAGAATATATCTCGGTTTTATTTTCTTAAAGTATACTTCAAGGAAAGGTCACGATCCATTCTCTAATCAAGGTGCAATTATCCAAAAGCAGAATGGGATTAATTGCCACCCTGACAATGTCTCTGTTTTTTAGTATGCTGTCTATATTTGCCATAGCTTTCTTCCCCAGGAGCAAGCGTCTTTTAATTTCTTGGCTGCAGTCCCCATCTGTGGTGATCTTGGAGCACAGGAAAATAAAATCTGTCACTATCTCCATTTCTTCCCCATCTATTTGCCAGGAATTGAGAGGGCCGGATGCCATGATCTTAGTTTTCTTAATGTTAAATTTCAAGCCAACTTTTGCACTCCTTCTTCACCTGTATCAAGAGGCTCTTTAGTTTCTCTTCACTTTCTGCCATTAGAGTGGTATCATCTGCATATCTGAGGTTATGGATCTTAACTCCAACTTTTGATTCATCTAGCCCTGCCTTTCTTATGATGTGCTCTGCATATAAGTTAAATAGGCAGGGCGACAGTATACAGCCTTGTTGGACTCCTTTCCCAATTTTGAACCAATCAGTGGTTCTGTGTCCAGTTCTCACTGTTGCTTCTTGACCCGCATATAGGTTTCTCAAGAGACAAATAAGATGGTCTGGTACTCCCATATCTTTAAGAACTTGCCACAATTTGTTGTGATCCACACAATCAAAGGTTTTAGCATAGTCAATGAAGGAGAAGTAGATGTTTTTCTGGAACTCCCTAGCTTCCTCCATGATCCAGCATATGTTGGCAATTTGATCTTTAGTTCCTCTGCCTCTTCAAAATCCTGCCTGTACTTCTTGTAGTTCTCGATTCACATACTACCGGAGCCTAGCTTGTAGGATTTTAAGCATAACTTTACTAGCATGTGAAATGAATGCAATAATGCGATAGTTTGAACATTCTTTGGCATTGCCTTTCTTTGGAATTGGAATGTAAACTGACCTTTTCCAATCCTTTGGCCACTGTTGAGTTTTACAAACTTGCTGGCAAATTGAGTGTAGCACTTTTACTGCATCATTTTTTAAGATTCTAAATAGCTCAGCTGGAATACTGTCACCTCCATTAGCTTTGTTGTTGCTCAGTTTTCCTAAGGCCCATTTGACTTCACATTCTAGGATGTCTGGCTTGAGGTCAGTGACCACCCCATTGTGATTATCAGGGACGTTAAGTTCATTCTTGTATAGTTCTTCTGTGTAATTTTGCCACCTCATCTTAATCTCTTCTGCCTCTGTTAGGTCCCTGCCATCTTTGCATGAAACATTTCCTTCATATCTCCAATTTTCTTGAAGAGATCTTTCGTCCTTCCTATTCTATTGTTTTCTTCTATTTCTTTGCACTGTTCATTTAAGAAGGCATTCTTATCTCTTCTAGCTATTCTCTGGAATTCTGCATTGGGTGTATCTTTCCCTCTTGTCTTTCGCTTCCCTTCTTTCAGCTGTTTGCAAAGCTTCCTCAGACACCCATTTTGCTTTCTTGTGTTTCTTTTTCTTTGGGATGGTTTTAGTTGCTACCTTTTGTACAATGTTGCGGACCTCCATCCATAGTTCTTCAGGCACTCTGTCTATCAGATCTAATTCCTTAAATATATTTGTCACCTCTACTGTATATTCATCAGGGATATGATTTAGTTCATACCTGAATGGCCTAGTGCTTTTCCCTACTTTCTTCAATTTAAGCCTAAATTTTGTAACAAGAAGCTCATGATCTGAGCCACAGTCAGCTCCTGGACTTGTTTTTACTGACTGTATAGAGCTTCTCCATCTTTGGCTACAGAGCACAGTCAATCTGATTTCTGTGTTGACCGTCTGGTGATGTCCATGTGTAGAGTCATCTCTTGGTTGTCGGAAGAGTGTTTGCTATGACCATTGTATTCTCTTGACAAAATTCTATCAGCCTGTGCCCTGCTTCATTTTGTACTCCAAGGTCGAACTTGCCTGTTATTCTGGTTATCTTTTGGCTTCCAACTTTAGCATTCCAATGCCCCATGATGATAAGGACATCATTTTTTGATGTTAGTTCTATAAGATGCTGTAGGGCTTCATAGAACTGGTCAATTTCATCCTCTTCAGCACCAGTGGTTGGGGCATAGACTTGGGACTACTGTGATATTGGTTTGCCTTGGATTCGAACTGAGATCATTCTGTCATTTTGGGGATTGTATCCCAGTATTGCTTTTCCTACTCTTTTATTGACTATGAAGGCTACTCCATTTCTTCTGATTCTTGCCCGCAGTAGTATACCTGATGGTCATCTGAATTAAATTCACCCATTCCTGTCCATTTTGGTTTGCTGATTCCTAAGATGTCGATGTTCAATCTTGTCATCTCTTGTTTGACCATGTCCAGCTTGCCTTGATTCATGGATCTTACATTCCAGGTTCCTATGGAGTATAGATCTTTACAGCATTGGACTTTCTTTCACCACCAGATGCATCCACAGCTAGCGTCCTTTCGGCTTTGGCCCAGTCGCTTCACTCTTTCTGGCGCTACTAGTACTAGCCCCCTACTCTTCCCCAGTAGCATATTGGACACCTTCCAACCTGAGGGGCTCATCTTTTAGCGTCATATCTTTTTGACTTTTGGTACCGTCCATGGGGTTTTCATGGCAAACATACTGGAGTGGGTTGCAATTTCCTTCTCCAGTGGATCACATTTTGTCAGAACTCTCTGCTATGACCTGTCCGTATTGGGTGGCCCTGCATGGCATAGCTTCATTGAGCTACACAAGCCTCTTCGCCATGAGAAGGCAGTAATCCATGACGGAGCAGTAATCCATGAAGGGGGCAAAGACATTATTCTTCCTTAATAATAACCCTGACTGTAATAGAAGCTCCTTGAGAGGTCATGCAAAGGACTGCATTGTAATCAAATGATCAAGATCCCTTTTCATTTAAAGATACTCATTTGCAATTGATCTTATAAGAACAATTCTCTATTGCATGTAATGTGGATAATTGGTGACGCACTGGCTTCTTTTAAAATGTTATATTCTAATATGCTTGTATGAACAGGGAATTATTGATCCATGAACAATACCCTAGAGCTCTGTCAGATTCTATACCAGCTTCAGCTTATTAAAGGGCTGCCAATCCTGTATAATGTTTCCAAGGGTAGGCACTAACAATATCTTAGAAGCAACTCATCATTTCTAAGTTCATATATACATATAAATGTAAACACTGAAAAGAGTTTAACAATTATAACCAGATTGTACTAGAGCTCCTACTTCTTTCTGGAATCTGAATTAGTTCCAGTGAAAGGAAATGTTCAAACTCTATTTTTTATTCCAATAGCAAAACTGTCTAATGTTCCTTAGTGAAAAGAGTGTGAGCTCTCTGAGATTTATTATAAGAAGTTTTAAAATGTCTCACAGTCTTGTAAATGCCCATATATTATCCTGTAAACATAAATATATAAATTTTTGTAATGTTCAAAAAGAATTATGCAAAATTGAATAATACTGTTAGAGATAAGAAGACTAGCACTATTACACCCAGCAGTAATGAAACTTTAAATACTATTATTACAAGTACAGCAATAGTCGCTCCTTGTTCATGACTCGAGTCTTTGAAAAGTTTAAGATGGTTCACCTTGAAATATATATTGAGATAGGTATTATTGTTGAAATTAATACTGTGTCAATAAAACTAAGTATTCAGCTGGAAACCAGTAGCGTATTCAGTTTCTGAGACACTTGATAACACTAGTTAAATCTTGTTAAAAGAAAACAACAACCCCTATTTAGATTAAACAAAAGGTAACGGTAAAGGTTCCCCTTCCACATATGTGCTAGTTGTTCCCGACTCTAGGGGGCGGTGCTCATCTCCGTTTCAAAGCTGAAGAGCCAGCACTGTCCGAAGACGTCTCCGTGGTCATATGACCGGCATGACTAAACGCCGAAGGCGCACAGAACGCTGTTACCTTCCCTCCAAAGGTGGTCCCTATTTTTTTACGTGCTTTCGAACTGCTAGGTTGGCAGAAGCTGGGACAAGTAACGGGAGCTCACCCTGTTACGTGGCACTAGGGATTCGAACCGCTGAACTGCCGACCTTTCGATCAACAAGCTCAGCATCTTAACCACTAAGATGCTGATAATATACAATAGGTTAAAAAAAATGTGATTGTTATATAGAGTTATTATCATTTACTGTTAATTTATTATTTTTCTTGTTGTATTTTTACACTTTTTAAAAGTGTAAAAGTACTTTTTAAAAAAGTACTCTGTATGGGGCTTTTTTTTTTTGCATTGATGTATTGTCTTCTAATTATTCTTGGGTTTCTGTTTTTTCCCTTTTTGTCATTATTTTATAAGTAATGATAATAACAATAAAAAAGAATTCAACTGGGAACACATTACTTTGAAACTGTGGTGTATAAACTTACTATTTATTCTCCAAGCAAAGATTTACATTTGGAATAAAAGCATTCTTTCTATGTTTCACTATCCATGAGTTAAACTGAAGATGGTTGCATTAATGTGAGTTTGGGGAACTATAAAAAGTGCAAGTTGAGAGATCTGTAGTTACTTTGCCTTAACAGCAGATCTGGGGGATATAAGTCTTCACTGAAAATAATTTACTGCTCTTATCATATTTCTTGAGACTTCATTCCTCATTATATTTTTCATTAAACTTCCTACAGAAGAGAAATAACTTTGTTATGAAAAACAACTATTTAAGGCAATATGCTATACAAAAATGAAACAAAGCATATAATTATATGAGGTCAAAGTTTACATCAATAGTCTAGTAATACCAGCTCATCTATAAAGACTTAGTAGCCAATTTTTGTATAATATAGTCTCCCTGGTGTCCTCTTACTGGATATGACTACAACTCACAGCCAGCAAGGTGTTTCCTATTCAGTCTTGAGTGGCAATATATTTTGTGGAAAACTACCAACCTATATTTGCCCTTATCATTGGTGTAGGCCCAAACTAGCTTTATATCCCCATATAAATACATTCATTCCTTGTCTTTTGCTAGCATTGTATGAGTGATCACTGCTGCCCTTTCTCTCTTCACTAAACCAAGGGGAACCCTGGAGTAGAAGTAGTCCTTGACTTGTAACTACAGTTGAGCCAAAATTTCTATTGCTACATAAGGCAGTTTTAAAGTGTGTTTTTTCCTATTTACGATCTTTTTTGCCAGTTGTTAAGCGAATCACTGTAGTTGTTAAATGACTCACGCACATGGTTGTTCAGTGAATGTGGCTTCCCCCATTGACTTTTCTTGCTGAAATTCAAGCTAGGAGGGTTACAAATGGTGATCATATGACCCCAGTTGCCAAGTGCCCGAATTTTGATCACCAGAACATGGGGATGCTGCAACGCTCTTAATTGTGAAAACTGATCATAAGTAACTTTTTTCAGTGCCATTGTAACTTCAAACAGTCATTAAATGGGTGGTTATAAGTTAAGGGTTACTTTAATGAACAGAAAGCTGCTCTGGGCCAACTCTAGGTGTCAAACTCAAGGCCCGCGGGCTGGATCACAGAAGGCAGGTGCATGTGTGCATGTCAAGATGGTGGACTGGGCCTGTGCATGCATGCGCCCACTACCCCCTGCGCACATGCGCCCCCCCCAGGATGAGCTGAGCTGAAGCGACGCGTGCCAGTTCCTTAGTATTTCCAAGATGGCCGCACTTACTGGCCTTTCAGGTATGTGGGGAGAGGTGTCTGGCAGCAGGGGCTCTGCAGCTGGCCCACCAAGAAACAGGCATGAGGGTGGCGGAGGCAGGTGATGCGTACCACTGGGCGCACCTGCTCCATCCCTTATGGCCGGGACAGGGCAGGTGGCTGCTGTGGGCTAAGACAAGGTGAGGAGGGTGTGGGGCAGCTGCTGCCAGACAACATCGGCCCGCCTACTCTGTCCCATCTGTTTTTGCTTGTGGTTGGATAGCAGGTCGCCCCTGGTCATCTCCTCAGCCCCCTCGCGGGTCTTGCTCCCCTCGCACACCAGACGCACCTCGGTACCTGTGGGCCACTGCCACCATTGAGGCCGCCAGCAGCTCGTGCAGGTCAATTAAGCCGCTGCCATTGCCACCCAGAGCACCAGACCCGCCCAGTCCAAAGGAGGCAAAGCAGCCAGCTAGAAAGGCGAGTAGTGGTGGTAGAGTATGCCCAGGCCCAGCATGCAATAGATGGCCACCCTGACAGGGGAAAGCCGGATCCCCATCGGTGCCATGGCTGCCTAGGCCTAATCGGGATTGTGTGCCTCACCCCCATCTCTGCTGGGCCTGGGCAGCCATGGCGCCGATGGGGATCTGGCTTTTCCTGCTTGCGGTAGCCATCTTTTGCCTGCTGGGCCTTGGCACACTCTACCACCTCTACTTGGCCTTTCTAGCTGGCTGCTTCACTTCCTTTGGGCTGGACAGGTCTGTTGAATGGCGGTTGCGGCAGCACAGGATGGCCGACCGTTTTTGGCTGTAGCTGCCCCGGAAACCCTTGGGTTCCCTTCCCAACCCCACCCGGTCCCCACAGGCACCATCCACGTGAGTGATATCAAGCTTGCCATGCCCAGTCAGCTGTCCCAACCATGCCCCTCCCCTTGGAGGACAACTGCAATGCTGATCCGGCCCTCAATGAAATTGAGTTTGACACCCCTGCTCTAGAATATGGAAGAAACCAAATACTGAATAGAATACTTTGGTTTCTTCCATACTCTAGAGCAGGGGTACAAACTCACGTCGTCATCACATGACGTATCGGGACTTTTTTCCCCTTTGCTAAACCGGGCGTGGGCATAGCCAGCACGTGATGCATTTGGTCCCCCGGCCGAGAGTTTGACAGCCCTGCTCTAGAATTTGACCAACTGTGTGTGTGGAACTGCTCATGAAATTTCTGGCATATTTCCCAATGATATATGAAAACAAGAGTGATCCATAGGCACACTGAATGCCCTAATTTAATGGGTTCTCACCCCTGCAGCAGTTGGTGATGTGCATAAGTCCCAAAGTTATGAGAAAGAGATCTTTTTTTGACAAGGTGCTAGTGGCAATATCCTCCAGAATATCACAACTCTGAGGTAAATGCCAAATCAAGCGTAGGCCATGATTACCTGAGATTAACCCACTGTTGTCATGGTGGCTATGAAGTTCTGACTGGATTCTTTTGGGAGAAAGTTAGAAAATCCTCAGCACTTCAGTTACAGAAAACCAACTACATACCCAGCAATGAATTTAAACAGCTTGGGAAGGGAGGTTGTTAAAAATCAGGCAGGCCAATACAACAGCATCATTTCAAATTTATCACCCAGATCAGCTTTCACAAGTGATAATTTGTGGAATTGATCATCTGGTGACAATCAAAATACTCTGCAGCACTATTGCAATGATCCCTCCCCAGTCTTAGAATTATAGGTAGCAAAATAATTTCTTTCATGCTTTTATTGATAAAAAATATTCTGAAGACTAAAGTTTGCATCAAGAAATAAGGAGATATGAATTGAGTTGGCTTAAAACAAGAACCATATGAAATCCTCCAAAGAAATTTGCAAGTACTATAACTGATTATAAACAAATTATGTGATTCACATTTTAAAACAAACAACACATTTCATATTTTTAAGGTATTAGGTGGGTTGAAATAGTTCAGTTTTAATGCTTGTCTAAATTAGCAATGCATTTATTAATTTCAAAGCATACTACAATTCACACTATATAATGCATGATATTATATTATGTGTTGATGGGGAAGAGAGACGTCATGGACGTAACAGTGAATATATGCCTGTGAAACTAACACCATGAAACAAACTGATCTGATACAGACTCTTTCAGCTATGATGTTTCCTACTGGAATGTGTTTTTGGATGAATTCCTGTGAAGGAATCACTTGGCAGCATTACAAAACAATTCAGGAGCACCTTCTGGGAAAGCTAAATAGAACACATGCAAATTACACAGTAGCACAATACATTTAAATAGTGCATATTTACAGCATTATGTCTCATGGATTCACATTAAGGTCAATTTAATGTCAATTATTAGGAACATTCATTTTTGCAATCAACCTTATTTTGCCGGCATACATACCAAGGCTGGAAGCCACTTCATCCAAAGAAATTGTTGTCTTCTCCGCTGATAAAGGATAACTAGGATAGCGAGCTAAAAATTTTTGGCACAGCAATCCTAAGCTTTTCTGTTTTCTGCTGGGTCTTTGCTTTTCATATTCATCTGTAGTTCCATCATCTGCAGTATCACACTAGAAACAGAGAGAATGGTTCTTTATGGCCATCTGTTACATTATGCCAAAGCACTTGTTACATATAGCTGTTTACCAATACACGTACAAACTATTATATATGTGTTAGGAACTCATTTCTGAAAACTAGATAACCTATATTGCTTTCTTATTACAAATTGTATTAGTAGTCAGAAAAATATAATTTAGAAACACATTACTATACTTCACATAGTAAACAGATTTGGTTTAAAGAAGTGCTGTTTGAAACAAAACCTTGCTCTGGAAAATGCAGGGAGAATACTTTAACTCTCTGAATAAGAACCATCAACGAATCTGATATTCATATATGTTTTCTTTCCTCTCTGGAAGCTTCTATGTTACACATTTTGTCCTCACTAGAAGAATGTCTAATATAGAAGCTTCTATAGAAGCTTCTATGTGAAGAATGTTTTTAATTCAACTAGTTACTTCTTTTGGAGCAACTGCTCAAATATTTTACAAGTAGGTCCAAAGTTTAAGGACCCACCCATTTTAATTTAGACTGTGTTGGGGAAGATACCTATGCAATGCCTGAAAATCTATACTCTATATAATGCAGTCCTAGTGGACAACCATTTAAATATGAGCCAGCAGTGTGCAGCAGCTGTCAAAAAAGCAAGCACAGTTCTAGGCTGCATAAACAGAGGGATAAAATAAAGATCACGTGAAGTGTTAATATCACTTTATAATGCCTTGGTAAGACCACACTTAGGAATACTGCATTCAGTTTTGGTCACCACGATGTAAAAAAGATGTGAAGACTCCAGAAAGAGTGCAGAGAAGAGCAACAAAGGTGATTAGGGGACTGGAGGCTAAAACATATGAAGAATGGTTGCAGGAACTGGATATGTCTAGCCTTATGAAAAGAAGGACTAAGGGTGACATGATAACAGTGTTCCAATATCTCAGGGGCTGCCACAAAGAAGAGGGAGTCAAGCTATTCTCCAAAGCACCTGAGGGTAAAAGAAGCAGCAATGGGTGGAAACTAATCAAGGAGAGAAGCAACTTAGAACTAAGGAGAAATTTCCTGACAGTTAGAACAATTAATCAGTAGAACAACTTGCCTCCAGAAGTTGTGAATGCTCCAACACTGGAAGTTTTTAAAAAGATGTTGGATAACCATTTGTCTGAAATGGTGTAGGGTTTCCTGCCTAAGCAGGGGGTTGGACTAGAAGACCTCCAAGGTCCCTTCCAACTCTGTTATTCTATTCTCTTAAGTTATCTTTACTGTCTGTTCCTGCTCATCTTCCTAAACTCATATCCATATCCATACATATATATGTATTCTACAGTACCAAAATTATTAGTTAATCTATTGGTACATACCATGAGACACTGATACAACGTAAGCAGGGACTTTACAGCAAGTTGAAATTTTATTGAAATGATGAAATGATGAAATGTTTCAATGCAAGCTCTACCTCTTGTACACTTGCATGCAATATCGCAGTGCAAGTACAAAAGAGGGAGATTGATTTTGGACTCCAGACCACTATCACAGTAAGTGGAGATTCCTAAAATATCATTGTAGTAAAAGTGAAGCTTTGTCAGGCTAAATTGAATCAATATGTTAATTATTATTGGGAATGTTGTGTTTGACCTCGGGAGTTGGGGTGGGCATGGCCAGTTTGAGGTCACTTGTGTCAGGGACACCTGTGGGGGCTCCAAGTGCTCTGCCAGTGAAAACAGGCTCCCAATCTCAATTTTGGGACAGCCACCTGCAATCCTCTGCCAGCAAAAACAGAGCTTGGGAGGGCTGTGCAGAGGGTTGCAGGAGGTTGTCCCAGCCAAAAATGGAGATTGGGAGCCCGTTTTCGTTGGCAGAGGCACCATGGGCCGGCCCATCACTGTTTTCAGGGCAGCCCTGCGGGCCAGATCTAAGCACCCTGCGAGCCGGATCTGTCTCGCAGGCCTTGAGTTTGACATCCCTGTTCTAAATTGATCAAGCTTTTCATGACCTTTCTTATGCTTAAATTTTACTAAGCGTTCTACACCAATTAAATATGAAACACAAGAAGCCTTAGTTGTTGGTTTGCACAGGGGAACCTGCAGTGATACAAGAAGGGGGAGAAATTAGAAATACAAGAAGTCCTTGATTTGCAACCACAACTGGAATTGGAATTTTGGCCATAAATTGTTGCAGATGTAAGTCAAGGCATCATATCACCAGAATTGAAGTTTTGACAGTTTTTTATGGCAGCCATTAAATGAATCATGTGGTTGAAAGTCCAAGTCCACTCGTCCAAATGGGGTTTTTTGGTTGGAAATTGGCAAAAAACAAAACAAACTGCAGACATGTTATGGGGAGACAACGCAGTGGTTGTAAATATGAGGTGGTTGCCAAATGCCCAAAATCACATGACTGTGGGAAAGGGCACGTTTTACAATGACCAGAAGTGCTTTCCAATCATTTTAACTTCAAACAGATATTAAAGGACCAGTCATAAATGGAGGATTATCACTATTGTCAGCATCAAAATTCCATGTTTTAGTATCAAAAGAAAGTTATCAGATCTTCAACCAGGGATCCTGCAATGCATTTAAAGGCTTAAAAAAAACCCCTACTTTCATTTCCTTGAAAATTTATTAATGCATTTCTCATGATGAGTGGTTTGGGAGTGACAATCCTCAATAGATTTAACTACTTATAAATCATTACATTTAATAAACTCTATACAATACAGGTTGATTGGTTAATATCATTTCATTTTAAATAAATTATAGATTAAGGACCAACTTTGAAGTTACCATTCATGAATGTAATGGCTGACATACAGTACATAATTTATTATACAGTGCTAATAAAGTATCCACTGTATTTTAATCTTTAAAAAATGGATTGATTCAGACCAGTTGGGTTTGCCTTTTCTATACTTTTGTGTTATAGTTTACATTCGAATCTATCACCATGGTGTCTGTGACATAAATTGAAGAGTCCCCAGAGTATTCCACCCATTTTAAAGGACATAAAAACATAAATTACTTTAAAAAAATTAAATATGGTAAAATATCTATGAGAAAACCAAGTCTTATTAAGTCAATGCATTCAGAACTTGAGATCTCCTTCATTTGAACCTGAAAAGGTTGTTGCCCATTGTTCTAAAACTGCTTTAGTTCTTTCCTAGGCCCATCTATTGTATTGTCAGGATCATATTTATCCTAGGCTCAAAAGATAATTACATGCCCCAGCTTTGAATCTTTAAGTTCAAAAAGTATTCAGATGGCAACAGGTTGTTATTGTCCTATGGTTTCCTTGACTCAATCACACATATTTCTGACCCTGTAGTGCTCCCATGAGAGCCCACGAAAAGATAAGATTCCTTTAAGCAGCTGTCAAGAGATACATCAAAAACATGCTAGATACTCCTGAAAAGCACTTTGTTTGTTTCAGATCTGAATACTGCTGGCTAATAATGTAAAATAAACTATACATAACTAAAGAGAATAGAATGCAAATGAAGGTTACTGAGATTGTGGATGTTAAACAACAGCTGTCTACATGCCTAAAGAGATTTTTATATAATTAAAATAGGTAGCCGTTTAATTGTAATAATTTTCCCTGTGACAGGTGAGTTACCTGTGAGGAATCGGGGAGAGCATCGCTGAATTCATTGTTCTCAATTGGTCTGAAGAGTTCCTTTTTCTTTTCCCTGTCCCGCATGTCAGGACTAGCAGCACTAATAAGCATCTTTAGGTTAGCTGTTGGTGTCCATGGATCTGCAAGTGGCCTATCTGTCAGCTTCACAGGTGTAATTGGGCTTCTCTCAGGAGTACAGGTTTTTTGCTTGGACAAATCAATGGGCTCATTTTTCATGGGAGTCTTTGGGGTCATTCTGGGTCGATCAAATATATTTTCCTGTTAGAAAGAAGGCAGCCAATTAACATATAAATATACAACAATTCCTGGGTTGTACAGCACTTCAGCTTCACACCAAGAATTACCTGCTCAGGACTCAAGACTATCAATGGCTCCTAGCCAAGATGACCAGACATTGCTTTAATATCAAGGGTAGTATACCACTCAGAAAGGGTGATACTGTGCTCCTGTACTTCTCATAGACATCTCAATGTCATCTGGCTGACTTTTATGGGAACAAATGTGAAATAAGATAGTTCCAACCACATAAGGCTCTTCAAATAGCTTGCCTTGACTTTTATAGGAAGGAAACGAGATTACTGTACAATTTGGGAAGGTGATAAGGAACTGACTCAACCTAGACATCAAAACCCTTAAGTCACAAAGATTGAGAATCAAGTTTATTCTCAGAACAGCGCTTTTCTTTATTCATATTGGGAAGGAAGGAAACTTCAAAGAGCCAAATAGGAGCAAACCACTATTTAGAGTCTTAAGACTTTCTAGCTTCTTCAAAAAATACTTCGTAGAGGAGATGCAATGTGTAAGGGCACATCACATAACTTTCAGATACAAGATGACCCACGGCTTACAACTGGTTACTTAGTGATTGTGTGAAGTTATGACTAATCTGAAAAAGGGAACCCAGATTTGAGGTTCCAATGGCTGGGCCCCTTCCACAGACACATGACTGAACTTTGGATGCTTGACAACATGGCCACATTTATAACAATTTGCAGCATTCCATGGTGACGTGACCAGATTTTGCAATGGTTTACCAAAAACCAGCACTTCTGGTTTTCAGCATGCCTGCCCCATAGGAAACAACTGTGGCCATCACTTTATGACTGTCACAAAAAAGATAGTAAAAAACATGTTATATTATGGTTTATGAATTATGATCAGATCTTAAGGACTACCTGTATATGAAGGGCTATATTTAATAAATATGGGACTTATTCAAACATTGTGATTGAAGTGGTAGGGACCAGAATATTTATAATGAGAGAGGAATGATTGGCCTTTCTAAAATTAATGCCTTCATAATTGAATAAACAGTAAAGATTCAATGACTTATTTTTTTATAAGTACTGTTACAGGTAAGTTACAAAAATATGCATAGATATCAACAAAACAATCTGATGAAACTCTGATGTAGTAGAGACTCATCCTTGCTTTATATGGCAATCACATCACATCTTGCATTATTTAATGTTACTAAATTGTATATTCAGTTTGAATAGAGATGTGTAGAATAATCACTTGATTTGCCACTTCTTGTAAGAAATTTGGTCTTTCTTTAAAGAGTGCAAATCTTTGGGGAGACATGAATTAGAAGTTCCATTTTTCCTATCCAACCTTTTGTGATTCAACTGCTAGCAAGACATCTTAGTTTAGGCTGAGCCTAAGTACTAAATCTTATATATTAAAAACTCACATTAGTACAAGTGGCAATTGCAATACATTGGCTTGCACTTAAGTATTATGCAACTGCTTAGAATGGTGGAATTTTACAAAGACGAAATGTGGCTGAATTATTCTTATTAAGTTGTCTAGCTTTGTTGAATGGAACATTGCACAGCAATCAACAAGCATTTAGACTTGTTTTGCCTGCTTCGTTGGATAGAGATCTAGAGATTTATTGTAGATAACAAGTGTGCCAAAGAAGTCAAATCTTATCTAATCTGAGTGAGTTGAATAGAAGCAGTTTGATAAAGAAACGGCAGATTATGTCTGCATTTTTATATACTCATATTTTTTGTTTTTTTCCCCTCAGCTTTACAAATAACTTTCTGGGCCAATAGTTCCATCAGATATTACATATTTTAAGTACTACTTAAAAGGAGTGGTTTATCCCTCTTCTTGAAATTTAAAACTATTTGTAATTGATATTTTATTACAAACACACACACACACAATTTGCCTACGTTAAATTGCATAATTAAAAATGTATTTGTAAAATCAAAATAATTACTTTCATTGGTGAAAAGCAACTTCAAATACCAAAACAGGAAAAAACAGTTAGGCATCCAGGTTTCAACACTACTGAATCAATAAATCTTACTAAATCAATAAATCTTATTCAATCAATAAATCCAGAGGGTTCATGTCATTGCCCAGAGGATCATTGGTTGCCCTCTCCCTTCTTTGGAAGAGCTTTATAGTTCCCGCTGCCTTAAGAAAGTTCAAACATTTTTAAAGATCCATCTCATCCTGGGCACCTTTTTTTTGAACTATTACAGTCTGGCAGATGGTACAGGATAATAAAACAAGGACAAATAGGCTGAAAAACAGCTTCTATCCCAGGGCAGTAACTATATTGAATTCTACTATATAGTGCAATATTAATGCAACATCGGGTTTTCAATTCAATTGTATAGAATGTGAAGGATGTGTGTTTATGTTTTATTTTTATAGTTATACACTGAAGATGGCATTTAATTTCATTGTATGAGGTGCAATGACAATAAAGTAAACTAAACTAAATGCAGATCCCCATGCACAACCTTCATGAAAACATTGGTATTTCCAGTTTGATCTGGTTCAAAGAAACTACTAATTAAAACTCTTGTTTATCAGGAGAGCACCAGGAAGCCTTTGTCTGTGGTTTGTTAAGTTTTACATATAAATTGGAATTTCAACTTGATTTTTTCCAAACAAGCCAGAATCAATTTTCAAGTCTTTTGTTACACAGTGCTCTTCCACACACAGTTGGTTCCAATATTTTCAAATAAGCAGCACAGCAACAAAAGAATTATAGAAACAAGGAGGAATGTTGAATAAGTTTATTGAACTTAAAAATCTTACAACTCATAACATTGAACATATTACTGGGCACAATTTAGAATCCATTAGTGAAACATAACTCAGAAACAACAAATTAAAGATTGTATGATTAAATGGTTGCAAAATTTGAAAAGTTATAGAGATGAGGCAGTAGGAATTTCAATAGAAAAACAATAGTACATTCACCTTAAATATTATATTTAGAAAGAACTGGTATGTTTACTCCAGTCATGATTGCTAAAATGACTAGCTTCTTTTCTATAAAATGGTAAAAATGCAATAAACAAAGCCGATCTTCCATATGTTCTAGGAATGTTGTAACACTCAACAATTTTAGAAATTAACTTATGGTAGAATAAAATGAATTTTGAAAGTTGTAATATCAATTTTTTTTAAATAAATTTCACCAAACAACACTCTCCTTTCAAATATGTCATACTGACCATTTGTAATATATAATAAGAGCTGCAAGGATTTTTATATGCTTTTTATTGGAAAAGATCTTTGATCCTCTCTATGGAAGAATGGTTAATTAAACCATGAGCATATACTTCGATGTCCTGGATAACTTCAGTTTTTAGACTGAACTGTACAATTTAATCTTATTGGAAACAATTTCTAGACTACAATTCTATACATGGATTTGTGCCACACCCCAACTTAAGATGACATATAATCTATACATTATTTATATTATTTTCCAATTTATTGTTTATTTTTTGTAGCTTTTTTTCCTTATTCATTTAAATTGTAATAAAGAGACAGGTCTTAATTAGAAATTGGGTATGAAATATTCGTATTTTAAAATATCTATTAGCCATTTGATATTTTAGATTTGCTGGTTATTTGAGATTTGTTGGTTATTCACCCATATTCTATTGCTTACAGGTAGTTCTCAACTTATAACCATAACTGTAAGAGAAGACTAGATAGAATGGGGAGGGGGAGGGCAGAGTTAAGCACGTCATTAGTGTAGTCATTACATTGCCAGAAACGGTCTAAGTCCAACCTCTCTTGAATTCCATAGATCCTTATCTGGTGCCAATTTAATACTGAAATTTAGCTGGCTTCTTGTGTATAGGCTTCAGCAATAAATCTTTTGAACTTTACCTTAACATATAGTCTGTGTCTGACATAATTAGGACCAGAATTTCCATTGCTAAGCAAGGCAGTTAAGTGAGTCATGCCTCACTTAAAAAATTAAAAAAAATTTTTTTTTTGCCACAGTTAAACCAATCACTGTAGTTGTTAAGTGAATCCTGCAGTCATCAAACAAATCTAGCTTCTACTAACATTGCTTGTCAGAAGTTGGCTGGGAAGGTTGCTAATGGCAATCACACGACCACAGGATACTGTAACTGTTTTAAATATATGCTGTTTGCCAAGTGCCCAAATTTTGATCACATGACTGTGGGGTGTTGTGATGGTTGTAAGTGCGAGGATTTATTGTAAGACACTTTCTTCAGTGCTGCTATAAGGTAAGGATTACTTCATATTGCTTTCCCTCACTTCCTTACTATATTTTCCATGGTCTTTTAAACATGTATTTGTATCAGTACTCTTTCCCTTTTTTCTTTAGACAATAAAAAACTAAGAATAAATAACTCAAAATTATCTGCTATAACTTTCCTTTATGTTTGCCAGAAACACCTCTGTAGATTCATTTTATTAAAATTGCCTCCAAATATTGGTCCACAAAGATTCATTTTGCTCTTCCCAAATATTGGCAAAATTGGTGACTGCATTTTAACAATAACAACAATAACGATATTAAATTAAATTTGTATATTGCCTGATTTCCAACAACTCTGGGAAGCTCATTTACAATGAAAGAAATTACAATAAAACTAATAAAACATAAAAAGCAAAGTTAAAAGATGACTATAGACTTGGGTAAAGAACCAGATCTTCAGAGAATTTCTGAATAGAGTGGGGTCCATCTGGACTGGAGTGGTGGTGGCCTCATTCCAGGTCAGTCACTATCCTGCCCAGTCAAGATTATTGAATAACCCACAATGGCCCAATTCACATGTTCCACTTTGTCAGGTTAATGATGTGATCTGCTATCAACATTTGGTAGCAAATTATAGTGCTGTGTTTTGTATTATTTTAAACAGGTCGGGCACAACAAATTTATTTTACTTAACCCATAACCCTTTGACTCACTCCCAAAGTACTGAATTTTAGTTTACTCAACTATATCCCTTCCAGTGGCCTTTGGAACCTCCTCAAAAGTTTTTTAAAATGTCCTTCCTGATTGCAATAGTTGTATCATTCCTGCACTAAATCACTAGTTGTGTTTAGTTAACTCAGTAAGCCGAAACCAAACAAAGAATCTTAGCCTGGGAGTAAATTATTTCCTAGCTCCCTAATAGAGCAGAGATGGCAAACTGATTAAAAAACATAGAGCTAATGCCAAGCTGAGATGCATTTTAAGAGAAATGTACCCAACAGAAAAACAGTTGCATGATATATGCGGTGGATTAGGACTACTCTTCCTTATTTTAATGGTAGAGCTAGTTAATAATTTAATGTAACAATAATTATCCACAGAATATTGCTGTAAATCCTTTGCTTTAGCTTTTTTGTTTGTTTGTTTTTTTCATTTCTGAATGTATCAATCTCACTACAGTTTGAAACTTTAGAGTACAAGAAAAACAATTTAAAGAAAGCCTTATCACTGCCAGCAGATTTTAAAGTCAAGAACTCCAGGTTTTGGAATCCAGCTCTGCCTACTTACCTTTTGTGCACTGTCCCCATCTTCGTGTATGTAATCTATCTTCCCATGTCTCGGGCTAATCAGGTCTTTTAGTGTTAAACAATTCAACTCCATCTGTAAATGTAAAAGTTGCTCAACCTCTTCAGCATCTTACAACACTCCCCCTCCCAATAAATTTCAGGTCCCGTATCCCACCTCCTCCCGCGAAATTATCTGAGCAAAATTTAGGAGAAGGCGCGCTCCCTAAACGCGCAGAGTTTATAACCAACTAACCATAAAACCAACCACAAAAAGTTTTAACTTCAACAGAAGACGCCCGAGACTGAGCAGCCCTGGCGAATCTGTCATTGACGTTCAGAATTACTCAGCCGGGATCGGTTACTTTTGGCGCAAAGAACCTGGACGAGGAATCCCGGCTTTGAAAGGAGCGGGATTCCCAAGGACTCACCTCCCAGATCAAGGCGGGGACAACCCAGCTCGGCCCCGCGCCCTGAAGCGGGAGAAGGACCCCTCTCCCGGCTTAACCCCGACCCCTGGGGCAGGAAAGGCAATTCCCCGCTCTGCGAGGAGATGGAAAAGTTTGGGGGGGGGGTCCAAGGGAAAGGGGCCCCCGAAAAAAAAACTGCAAAACTTCTCTCTGCAGCCCCCCCCCCTCCTCTCTCCTTCCCGCCCCCCCCGCCCCCCTCCCCACCGGATTGTAAAGCCTTACGTTTCTCGACATTCTTTCTCAAAGGGCTCCCTGGGTTTCGGGCTCGGCGTCTCCAGGCTCGCTAAGGTCACCCCTGAGGGGCATCGGAGGTATTCCAAAGGGAAGAGGGACTCCGAATCCCACCTGCAGCTTCTACCTCTGCCAGCGACTCGCCTCTACCGGCCGCTTCGCTACTGCCCTGGAGACTCCACTAGGCGCTAAAGCTTCTATTCTGGCGCCTTGGAACATATTTTTACAATCCGACCAATCAGGCGTTTACAGTGGGGGCGTCCCTCTAACCTTCCCGCCAATCAGCTTAAAGCTCTGTTGGAAGAATTGGCGCTAGACTCGGCGCGCTCTGTCTCAAGGTCCCGCGTCTTAGTCCTGGCAGCTTCGGCTGTTTCCCCGCCGTCGCTGCCGCCCTCGCCGCCTCCTCCTCCTCCTCCTCCTCTGGGGTACCTGGGAAGCTCGAGGCGTAATTTAACAGTAAGGAGGGAGGAAAGGGCCGCCCAGCTGCTTTGTTCGCCAGGAGCGGGTAGCTCAAGTGTAGCGCTGAAGAATAGGAGGGGGGGGGGGAAATGAAGCGCACAGATGGAATTAAGAAACTTGAAACTCCGGGACGCTGTGGAAGGTGGCGGCAACCCTCTGGTTTCCCCCTCTGCTGAAGTCTGCTATTTTGGCTTAACTTTTGCGCTTCCTAAAATTCGCTTCGGAAAGTTCAGAAAAAGCACGCCCGGACACGTCGCGCTTTGCCAGAGGCGTGCGTGTTCCCTGAATAACCCTAATCTCCTTTACTGACGAGAGATTCCTAAAAGAAGGGAAATTCATGCATACATTAGTTTCATGGAATGGTGGAGGAGAGCCATAGCATTTAGATTTAGGTACTGCCTCGTAGTATATTAAAAATGTACAGCACTTTTTGGGTGGTTTGGGATGTCAGCATATTGTCCCAGCAGTCTGGGTTCTCATGCTGATGGGAAAAAGGGAAAATAACTTGGAAAATACACCCATGATTTTATTTCTTGCTTTCATACTTATGGAATAATATTTACTTCACATGCTACCAAGTTACATTGATTGGAAGAAAAAGGCCATGAGTTATAGACCAGGGATCAGCGTGTCGTGTGGGCAAGTTTCATTGGAAAATACTAGTTGTGCTTTCTGGGCACCTGCATTTTATGTCTACTCAAATGACAGAAACTAACTGAACTGCCACAACTGCAGATTAGTTCCAGTAGTTTTCCAAATGGCCATTCAGTGATTAAGTGGCAGATCTCGTTTAGAAAAGGATTTGGGGTGGGGTAGTGGCCTCACTGAGGACTCGGTGGCTCAGCAGCTAAGACACTGAACTTGTTGATCGAAAGGTCATCAGTTCAGCTGTTCAAATCCCTAGTGCTGCGTAATGGGGTGAGCTCATGTTACTAGTCCCAGCTTCTGCCAACCTAGCAGTTCAAAAGCACGTAAAAAGTGCAAGTAGAAATATAGGGACCACCTTTGGTGGGAAGGTAACAGCGTTCCATGCGCCTTTTGCGTTTAGTTATGCTTGCCACATGACCACATATATGTCTTTGGACAGTGCTGGCTCTTCAACTTTGAAACGGAGATGAGTACCGCCCCCTAGAGTTGGGAACGACTAGCATAATGTGCGAGGGGAACCTTTACCTTTACTAATGGCCTCCACTGGAGAATACAGTAATATGTTTGCTAATCATTTGTATAAGGCGGAAAACAAAGTCTTCAAATAAGTGTGAAGTAATTCCAAAAAGTAATTATATGCATTTTAGAAAATGTATACTGCACGCGGTATCCTGATATTACCAAATTGTCAAATAAGGTCCTACTTCTATAGATTCTATAGGTCATCTAAAGATAACGTTTGCTTTCCAACTGTATTGGTAAACCAGACCAGAAGCACTAGTGATTTAATGCATCATAATGACACAAGGTTGAAGACAGTTACGCTGTATAATAAAACAAATGTTGAGTCGTAAGTTCAGTAACTGAAAGATATTATAAACCTGGATAATGCCAAGCAAATTAACATTTAATGGCACTTCTACCCACTTACTTAGGCAACATTTGTTTTTCTGCCCATGTAGTGCATACGAGATGTCTTACAGCTCCCTCTTCCAAACGTTTCTTAACTCATTTTCAGTCTCTTAAAAAAAAGCCCTCTTCATGGGAATCACTCTGTAAAGTAAATCTCAATATAGTTAACTGGTTGAACTTAAATTTCTAATGGTAGAAACAAAATTTAAAAGTAAAGCCTCATTTATGATTTGATTGATTATGTGCCATCAAGTCAGTGTTGACTTTTAGCAACCACATCAGAGGTGGGTTTCAGCAGGTTCTGACCAGTTCTGGAGAACCGGTAGTGGAAATTCTGACTGGCCCTGCCCCATCTATTCTCTGCCTCCCAAGTCCCAGTTGATCGGGAGGAAATGGGGATTTTGCAGTAACCTTCTCCTGGATTGGGGAGGGAATGTAGATTTTACAGTATCCTTCCCCTGCCACCAAGCCACTCCCACCAAGCCATGCCACTCCCACCAAGCCACACCCACATAACCGGTAGTAAAATAATTTAAAACCCACCACTGAACCACATAGATTTTTTTCTTCATGTCAGACCTCTAGTCTGGCCCTAACGTGGTCCTTCATGTCTTCTAAAAGTGCATCCATCATCAATGTAAATTGAGTTCATCTACTAGCTGCTGGTAATCCTTTTCTCTTTTCTTCCACATTTTATTTTTCCCTATTTGCTTCTGTCTGTGCAGGTCTTGCTAATGTAGCTTTCCTTTAGTCAGCAGTTTACAGTATTTGTACAATAAATACAGACTATTTGGGGAGGGAAGAGGGATGTCTTGTTAAAATCAATTGTCTACTAAATTCAAATTTACATAACTGATATCATTTGCATCATTCCTATAATGACATAATAGATGTTTTTATGCCATTTGCACCAATTTGATCACGTATGTAATAGCATAATTAACATTTTGATGTTTAGTTATGCAGAAGATATAAATTGATGCAAATGAAAAAAATCAATTGAAATCAAATTTACATTCTATTTACATCATGATATAATTGGTACTTTTACATCATTTGCATCAATTTTGTTACTTGTGTAATGATGTAATTGACATTAATGCAAAAGACTCAAATTGATGCAAATGACATTAAAGCTGTCAATTATATCATTACACAAAAAACAAAAATTAACACAAATGCACAAATGATATCAATTATATAATTACATAATAATATAAATAATGTCAATTGTCCAGTCAGACCTTGGAAACAACTAACCTATCTATTATTTTGTAGGTATACTTGAAACTTCAAATCCATTGATTAAATATGAGCATCATTGTAGGTGAAACAAATTTTAAAAAATTTAAAAAAGGAAACTGAAAAAAAAGAAAAATCGGTAAATAAATATTGGGAAAACTGCATAGGTTTAAATTCCCTTGGATTGAACCTGACCAATAATTGCATCACTATATTTATAGAGACAGAAACAGAAACAGCTTCTAATTATTAACTTTAAGTCACTTATTTCCCTCTTTAAAAAACTAGTCTAAGGTCTGAGTTTGCCTGGCTGTGTGACGTAGGATACTATATATAGGGAAGAGATTTCTGCTTAAATTTAACCAAACTTCTGGATGTTCTGCATATACACTTAAATTTGCCATTGCTGCATATTTTCCAAGTTTGGTTTTCTAATCTGATATTGTTTGCAAAGCGTTTCTTTTCTAATGTTGAGCCGAATTTGTTCTTGTGATGCATTAAAATGAAAGATACATTTTAACATTTTAATAAATTGTTATTTATTTGCTTTGAAAATATTCCTAGTAGAAAATAAACCTGAAGTTTCATTTTATATGATAAAATGTTTCTTTTGTATCATAACAGTTTGAACATTTTTATGCTTATTGATGGAATTATGTACCAGATGTACCATCTCTAAAATATTTTGTACCAGGTTTCTCTTAAGTTATAGCAAGGAGTAAATTTACTGAATTTTTTCATAAGTCTTCCCATTGTTTTATTGTAAATGTTTCTTTACAATTTTGCATTCACTTCAAAATTTTTACTTGTTCTCTCTGCCATGAGTTAACATCTCTCTCCCCCCCTCTCTCTCATTGTGTTTGTGTGTGTATGTGTGTACTAGTAGGTAACTTGGCCTCCTTTTTAAATGTTGATTTGTTTTCTTTGAGATGATTTTTAATTGGTATTTTGACATGTCAATTTCAGTGATTCTTAATTAATGAATAAAAGATCCGATCACTTAAAATTTCAACTAAATAAAAAAATTATTCCGGCTATATTTTGAGCATACTAAATCCCAAGTACTGTTGCCGTAGCTTATTCAAGGTTGCATATTTAAACAGTCAGTATATTTAATATATTCTATTTTTATTTTTTAATGTAGTTTTTAGTGGTATGTAAAGGTTTTAATGTTGGGGAAATTTAGGATGGTTACAAATAGAAAGTGGCCTATGCTTGAAGAATAATGATTGCACTTCATCATTTGGAAGATGATGACGAAGACAACTTAATTGTGGAATGAGTTAATGAATTATTCAGTGATCAAAAAGTAATGACCAATCCTCTCATTTACCATTTTTGCAGGAAACAGCATAGTTTTTTAAAGAGCTTATTTTCATGTCTTCTTTACCACCTTGAAAAGATGCTTTATTATTTTTGAGGGACATTGTATCTTTCATGCAATGTGGTAGAGGCAGCCTTAATTTGATGGCTTGGGCAGTGCTATTTTCCATCTTCTGATAGCAAACATCCCATGGGGATAATTTAGGATGCCTTAGCGCGGACCTTGCAATGATGCAGACAGGGTCACCTAACTCCTCATTTGAAAGGATTATCTACTTCCTGTCTTTGATGTTTGGTTTCCTACTACAGGAACTGGGGATGGATGTAGGCCAATCTATCTCTGCATTTCCTGAAAAAGGTGAAGTTTGTGAATGGAGGGAAGAGACAAGGAGATGATGGGCACACAACAGGGAAGGTGAAGGCTAAGTAAAGTAGCTGCTGCTCCAGACTGGCAAGGGTAGAACTGGCACAATTGCTATGTTATATAAAGTTCTTCCAAGTGACCAAAATCATTACAAGAGACATGAGCTCAAAAGAACAGGAATAGCTCTTCAGTTAGCTTTAAGTCACAATGCTTGCTTTTCAATGTATCAGGCATTGTATCAAGGATTGATACAAAATAAATGGTACGAGAGGAAAAACAGGACCGACCCCCCCTCCCCCCAGGGAAAAGTACCACACTGAGGAAATGTGTCTCCTGCTCCACACTGCCCGCGTTTCTCTGGGCTGATCATTAATTTTTCTTTTTTCCATGTTTTCCATAAAAATAGATTGAAAGAAGAGTAGGGACTGTGGACTAGTGGTAGGTTGCCCCCGGTTCGGACCGGTTCACAAGAACCAGTAGTAAAACTGGTGGGAGGCTCCATCCATCGACCCTAACGTCATCGGGAAGCATCTGCGCAGGCCCCGTTATGAACCGGCAGTAAAGGTAAGTAGAACCCACCCCTGCTATGGACAACACATCCGAAAAGAATATTGATCTCTTGATCTTCCATATCTTTCAAGAAAACATTCATCAATATATAAAGACAACAGTATTCCCACAGCAAATGTAATAAAAAAAAAAATCAAGCCTTATACTTCAAATAAATAATCACTCTGAAAGACCCTAAGAAGGAAAATCCTCAATTTCCCCAATCTATCCCATCGTGTGCTTAAGAGAGCAAATGGTAATTGTTTTTTCTGGCAGAAAATCTGAATAGGAGGGGAAAAAATGCCAGTGAAATCACCAATTGCCGCCCTGAACTATAATGTATGAAAAAAGGGTAAAGACACTCACAATATCCTGCCTCATTGCTGAGGTGCAGTAAAGCTCAGCCATGGGTGCAGTGCAATTTATGCCAATGTATTTTTCTGCTAATGACAGGAAGAAAGCATGCGAGAATAATGCTTATGACAGCCAGTCAGTAATAGTCTCCCTAAGCCTAATGCTGATTGGGCATTCCTTCAATTGAAGCTGCATCTGGCCAGCTTTGAATGTAAGTGCTCTCCTTCAAAATCAGCATGGTTTGCTTTGGTGCCAGCCCCAGGTCACGTGGCAACCCTAGGGCACTTCGACTGATGGCACCATTTCTCACCAATACAAAGATTTCCCTTTTTAGAGTGATTTGGAAAGAGGTGGTATTTGTGCCCCCTAAGCATTGGCAACCTAGGTCCATTCCTATTTGTCCTTCCCCTAAAGCCAGCCCTGTTCTGCTTTCAACAGGTTAGGGCAGCAGATTCCTCTCCTCCGTTGTAATCTGTAATATCTCAGTTTCTTGTGAAGTAGCTTTTGTAAACAGATATTACAAAATTACCAACCTAGCCAATCCATTTTTCCATTCTTGACACAGCAGATGGATTGAATGTTCACCCCTGCAGTCTGAGTATTTCTGGCTAGTAACTTTGAGTAAACAATTGATTTCGTTGAACAATAATTAAACAACTGTGATGTGATAGTAATTAACACAGCTGTGCTACTAAATAAAATATTGCACTTTAGGGTTTTTTTTGAGCAGCATGTGATTACACTGAATATAAATCTTAACACTGAAATAAGGAAATTGTTAGTATGACTAATGAAAAATATAAAACAGATAAGTTTTTGGTTGGCAAAAACAAGAGGGGATGCTTGTCAGCAAAGCAAGTCAGCACAATATTACATTATTTATTCATTTAGCTAATTTACATTTATTATTTATCTAATTTATATAGCCATCCATCTAACAAGAAAGTGACTCTGGGCCGCGTACATCAAAACTAAAACAATAAATACATAAAATGTCCTTCAACTACTTCTGGATTGCACCAAATATCTCCTCAAATTTAACATGTTGTGAATTTATCTGTATATCTTGAATTTTATTACATATATGTGTGAATTTTTAACGTACAGCTAGAATTGTAAAGTTTGATTATCTATTATAATGTATCCATTGTATAAGGTTATCAGTCTATTTTTTATACATGTAAATTAACATTTTGTATGACTTTCTAAGTAATACTTGAGATTTGCAATATTGTTTCAAAATATATTCTAAAAGAGGTCCAAAAGGAATATATATTTCCCTCCCTTCCTTTCTCTTCCTTTCCCTTCCCTCCCTCTCCCTCCCCTCCCCTTCCCCCTACCTGTCCTCCAGAAGCTTAAATCAATGTCCATAATACTCGTCTTCTAATTTTCCTAGAGGTAGCCTAATTGTGGCTGCCTCAAGTCTAACAATTAATTTTTTTAAAAAACTAAAGCATGATGAAAAAGCTTTGAGTAATGTGTGCATTCTAAAAATAGCTTAACTAATTAACAGATATAAAAGATATTAAGCATAGAAGCCAGTTTAGAGTTATTTTATACCATTTGTCCTTCATGGAAAAAAATGTCCCAAAATTATTGTTTTCTACTTTATTGTGATTTCCTATTGTTTCTCCACTTGCCCCTTTATAAAATCAAATAAAATATTTTGTAGCATTATAGTGTAGACCCCTTGAATGGGGGACAACAGGCTCCAACTGACCCCTGGCAAGACCGGGTGGCTTTGGGTACATGGGGCCCTGAGATCCGGGACTTTGTCATCTTTGACTCTGGAGGGTTGAAACAGATACGGTTCATAACTTGGGGTTGGCAGTTGCAGTTAGGGGAGCCTTTCCACAACTTTAGGTTGTGTGCCAATTGTGCCCCTTCCTAGATCAGGAATCCCTCCACTCAGTCGTTCAGGCCCTAGTCATCTCATGGTTGGACTATTGTAATGCGCTCTACATGGGGCTACCCTTGAAGACCATTCAGAAGCTGCAGAGTGCGGCAGCATGGGCAGTTCTCGGGGCCTGAAGAATGGCTCCTATAACATCACTGCTCTGCAAGCTGCGTTGGCTGCCAGTGTGCTTTCAGATGCAGTTCAAGATGTGGGTAATCACCCTTAAAGCCCTTTAAAGCATGGGTCCAGGCTACTTGAAGGACTGTCTCATCACAGTGAAGGTTATTGATTGAGTAACAACAGATCCCACCTCCCCCCGATCCTGCCCCCACCCTTCCCATCTGTAATTGGATTTTTATATATACTTGCAAACCGCCCAGAATTACCCTGTGGTAAGATGGGAGGCCAATAAATTTTATTAAATAAATAAATAAAAACATACATACATACATACTACAATGGGCAGATGGAATGAAGGATATAAAGGGTTTAAAGAATAAAGTCATCTATCATAAATTAATTCCATAGTTATTATTCAATCTGCCCTTTCCTAACTAACATTTTCTAAAGTGCATTCTTTATCATTCATGATTTTTGTATAACCTTGTACAAAGGTTAATATGTAGGAAACTGGCCAAACCTGCCATTTTCCAGTATTTGCAGGAAACATGGCAAGTCACCTGAGTGCTTAAATGTACAGTAGACTCAATTTTGGAATTAATGAAAATCTCACATATCATTGATGAAAGACAATCTGGGAAACAGCAAGAATTTTACCTTCAGATTTGGTTCCAAGAGTTTTCAACAATGTTGTTTCTATGTCAGTGGATATTAAAGTTAGATGGGGGAGGGGTTGACACAAAAATATGTTTCATTTCAAATTTGAAAGAAAATCGTTACATTTTGGAAAGTTCGGCTAAATCAGTGGAAACTGAGTGAGGTTTAGTAGAATAAAACATGAACTGTTTTAGGTGTTCTGTGTTTTATCAAAAGGAAACTTAAAATGACTTATGGTTTTGATTATGGGAAATCTTGGGATGACAGGCCTAATTTATTGAGTTACGGTAATCCAGAAAACGATTACATTGCAAAAAAGAGACACAAAATCTCATTCTTTCATGCCATCTTGTGGCCACCCTAATTTTTTGCAGCCCAGATATAGTAGCCCTAGCCCTAGCCCTAGCCTTCCTTAACTCAAAGCAATAGTATAGAAACATATTAATTGAAAGAAATAGGAAGCTAGAGACTACTACCGTATTTTCCGGCATATAAGATGACTGGGCGTATAAGACGACCCCCAACTTTTCCTGTTAAAATATAGGGTTTGGGCTATACTCGCCATATAAGACTACCCCTCTTCCAATGCACACCAAATAAAAATTAAAAAACATCAACTGGCTCACCTACAATGTAAAAGCAGCTGTGCTAGTCCCAAAATGGCCTCTGCAACAAGCAGGAACCTCACACAGCCACAAAAAGCCCCCCAAAAAACTTTCACACTCTACACATACACAACACAACTGGCTCACCCACAATGTAAAAGCAGCTGTGCTAGACCCAAAATGGCCCCTGCAACAAGCAGGAACCTCACACAGCCACAAAAAGTCCAAAAAACCAACTTTCACACTTTACACACACAAAATTCCACATACAGCTTTGTGAGATTTTGTGTGTTTGTGTAGTTAGAATGAAACACTACAAAAACACACTAAATCTCAGAAAGCTGCACATATATTTTATTTTATTTTATTTTTATTTTTATATGAAAGCTAAATTTAAAATTTCCTAAACTTTAAATGGCTAGGTCTAAAAAAGAACAACTAAACCCCCCCCCCAATTATAACCCCAATTGACTATTTTTTTTAAAGCTCCCAAAGGGGAAAAAAACTTACCCAATAGAACAGAGATCTTCAAACTTGGCAACTTTAAGACTTGTAGACTTCAACTCCCAGAATTCCTCAGCCAGCTTTGCTTTGCTGGCTGAGGAATTCTGGGAGTTGAAGTCCACAACTCCCTGCTTGCTTGATTGCAGGCAGGGAGTTGCTTGCTGATGGAATAGATTCAGGCAAGCAAAGCAAGGCAAGTGTTGCGACTAGCAGCTGAGGTAAGCAAGCTGGAGGGGGAAAACTTTTTTCCTTTTACATGGTTTCTGGCGATCCCAGCTGAGTTGGCAGGGAACTCAGCTGGGATGGGATCGACCGTCAGAGCTGGGACCGTCAGAGCCATGGTTCTGGCGATCCCAGCTGAGTTGCAGGGAACTCAGCTGGGATCGTCAGAGCTGGGGATCGTCAGGTAAAAGGGAAAAAACTTTTTTCCTTTTACATGGTTTCTGGCGATCCTAGCTGAGTTGCAGGGAACTCAGCTGGGATCGTCAGAGCTGGGATTGACCGTCAGAGCTGGGATCGCCAGAGCCATTTAAGGCTCGTCAGAGCCTTTCGGGCTGGTCTGCCTGGTTGCAGGAGAACGACACCCGGCGTATAAGACGACCGCCGACCTTTGAGAAGATTTTCATGTGTTAAAAAGTCGTCTTATACGCCGGAAAATACGGTACTTGGCTAAAACTGTTTTGAAATCTCAGATTAATTTCCCTTTGCAATGCAGGAGACATCCTGGTAGAAAATACAAAATACCAGTCAATCCTTGAATTTGTTACTTTAAACATATTTTTTTAAAACAAACCTATGATTAACCCTAATTTTGCAGAAAATCAGGAATGTGAACTGTTTCCAGACCAGTACATAGAAGGTCACCCACCCTGAAGATT